CCACTGGAGGGGTTTGTGGTCGGTATGGACTCGAAATTTTCTCCCGAATACGTATGGCCTGAAATGGTCGATAGCCCATACTATCGCGAGTAGCTCCCTCTCCAAAGCGCTGTACCTTGATTCCGCACCCGTAAGCCGACGGCTCGCGTATGCTATCGGTCGTTCACCCTCACTCCCCCCCTGGGACAAAACGGCCCCTAGCGCGTATTCACTCGCATCAGTGGTTATATTAAAAAGCTTCTCGAAATCCGGAAACGCTAACACCGGCTCCGTCAGCAACCTATTCATACATTTTCGAATGTTATTCTCCATCTCTGGTGTCACCACAATCTTCGCGCCTTTCTTCAACAAATTGTTAATGGGTACCAAATACTCTGCCATCTCGGGTACGAATCTCCGGTAATAATTCAGCGTCCCGAGAAGCCTACGAATCCCCTTGACGTCCCGTGGTACCGCCATCCGCGTGATTGCTCCACCTTTGCCGCATCCGGTCTGACCCCCTCGCTAGAGATAGTGTGGCCTAAAAAATTGATCCGCGTTTGTCCCAGCAGAGACTTCTCGCTTGACAATTTCAGCCCGAATTGCCGGAGCCTTTCGAATACTGCCCTCAGATGTCCCACGTGCTCGGTTTCCGTTCTGCTAAAAATCAGCAGGTCATCCATGTATACCTGGCATACCGAGTCATCGATGCCCCTCAAAAATTCGTCCATCAGACGCTGAAATGTTATGGGCGCATTCTTCAGACCAAACGGCATCCTGGTGAATTCATAATGCCCCCTTTCAAATGTGAACGCTGTTTTGTGTTGGTCTTCCGGGTGCATCCGTATTTGGTGGTATCCCGCCTTGAGGTCCAGCGTGCTAAAGACCACGGCCCCACTCAACCTATCGAGTATATCCTCGAATCTCGGGATCGGGTACTTCTCGTCTACCGTGTTATCGTTCAATTTACGATAGTCTACTACCACCCTGTATTTTTCCTTATTATCCCCCGGCGCTGCCTTCTTTTTCACCGCCCACAGGGGACTATTGAATGGTGAGGTGCTATCAACTATGATTCCCTGTTCTTTTAGACTATCTAGCTCCTCCCGAATATGCTGTCTCAACGCCTGCGGGTATCTTCTCTCTTTCACGTAAGTTACCCTCTCCTGTTTCAGTGGGATTTCGTGCACCGTCCTCCCTGTTACTCCTAATACCTCACCTTCCCTGAAGAAGATATCCCTAAACTCCTCTTGTAGCAACTTCCTCCAGTCCTCCACTCTGTCCACCGCTCCTATCCGCACCCTTCTTTCTCTCGCGACCCCTATACATCCGAACTTCCTCTTTCCTAACCTAACGCTCCAGACTCCTCTACGATTTCTAATGCTCGCCCCTACCTGACCTAACAAATCGCACCCTACTATGACTTGGTATTCCCGAGTCATGTTCTCCACCACATGCACCGTTAGCTCACCCTCTTTCCCTGTCCACCGATCAAGCCCAATTGTCGCCTCACCCTCTACACTACAGGGACCACCCAGAGTGATCAGCTGGCAGTCACATTTCTGTATCCGGAGTACCCTCTCGCTCCCGCACCCTTTTCCTAACGCCCTTCGAGTCATAATAGTGCTCGAGCTACCCGTGTCCACAAGACACTTTACTCCCCCGTCTACTTCGATAATTGGCAACCAGCATGGCTTACCTCGGATGTTGTTGCATATTGCTGTGCGGTCGCCTCTCTGCCGACACACTCCTCAGATGTCGTCCCGCTTCCTCCTTTCTGCCGCCGCTCGTCGCTGCTCACTCCGTTGGCTGCGCCTACCTCCTTCACCTCCGCTGCTGCCTGGTTCGTCCGTCTCCGTTCCCGACGCTCCTGACTCCTCGGTTGCCTCCTCCGAAGATCCGTCCCGCTGATGTACCCTGGCTCGTCTTTCATCCTCTGCACATTCACCTCCATGGGTTCGTCCTGAGGTCTCTCCCTCCTGTGAAATATGTATGGGCACTGCCTTGCTATGTGCCCTTCCGTCCCGCACTCGAAGCATCTGGTGCGCGGACATTGCGCTACTAAATGTCCCGGCTTCCCACACCCGTGACATTTTCTCTCTTCCCTCCGGGGCCCATTCCTCGGCCTCGACGACTGTCCCGATCTTCTTTCCCTCGTCGGGGCTTTTTCTCCACTCGGCTGCCTTGTGTCCCTCTTCTTCCAACCTGTCGGGGCTGTCCATGGTCGTCTATCCGTCACTCGGGTCCAACCCGGTTCTTCCACATCCATCCGTGTCTCCTCCTCTCTGGCACTTAGGTCGATCATCTCCTGGGCGCATTCGAGGAACGATCGCTCTCTGGGCAGTCCGTCCCTCTTCCCCGTTTCTTTAGCCAGCTGGACTTTCAATATTGTCGACAGAAACTCCATCCTGGCTTCGACCTCTCCCACGCTCATTGTTTCCCGCATCTTCTCGGTTATGCGATTGTACTTCGCCACGAGTACTCCCGCATATTGCCCCCTTGACTGTCGTTGGGCCCGCCGCTCCCTAAACATTTGGAATATGTCCTCTTCCGGTGTCCACCTACCTCCTCCAAAAGCCTTCTTCAGCCGCTCCTTAATCACCGGCCACGGAGTCTCCTCGTCCGCTTGGATCTGGTTCAGGACGTTCCTCCTTACTCGGCACACAAGAGCTGCTTTTAGTTCTTCCGTCCCCTAGGTTCACCAGGTCCTCCGCCACCTTCACCTCGATTCTTGACATAAGACGATCTCCGCCTTTCAAGAAATGGTTGAGCTCGCCTACCTCGCCTCCGAATCGTTCTAGGTCCGCAATGGCCCTCCGTAAGTCCTGCGTGGTTGTTGCTCTTATTTTCATCCATTCCAAGGCATTGGCGTGTGCTTCTGCCAACGTGTCCCTTGGTAATGGAGGGATCTCCTGGATCTGAGGGATCTGTGCTACCTGAGGGACTTGAGGTATCTGAGGTACCTGAGGCGCGATCTGGGGTACCTGATTGATCTGTGGAATATCCTGAGGTTGAGGAATTTCCGGTACGCTTAGTACTCCCGGTCTAATCAATCCTTCTGTCGGCATTTCACCTTTTCCTTAAACACCAAAAAAAAAATATCTACTTAAAAAAAAATTACTTCCCTGACGTTGTCCCGGGTTTCGGCACCAGTTAAGCGTCGTCGGACTTAGAAAATAAAAAAAAAGAAGGAAAAGGGAAAAGATGTAACATACACGACTTCTGAAATAACACTGCTTTATTCGTTCCATAAGCCTCCTTATATACACTTAGCCTGTTTATTTACATTACCAGATAGTATTAAGGCTGATACCGCCAGTCTCCGGTCTTTATCTTATATATATATATATATATAATATATATATATATATATATATATATATATATATATATATATAAAAAATAAAAAAATCTAAAAATGACTTTTCTTAGGTACTCAAACAAAAGACAAAATAATGTGTAATTTATTTAAGACAAATTATAACTAATCTAAACACAATTACTGTTTATTTATCATTTAACAGAACTTTTTTTTTTTGAGCTTGAATAAATGCAAGTTAAACTTTTACCATAAACCTGTAACTTCAATTAAAAAAAAGTTTCTTAGAACTTTAATTTTAAGGAAGTTTTCCTAAGAAGTTTCACAGGAACTGTTAGAATGGAACTTCTGAAAAATGTTTCATAAAAGTTTTAAACCCGGAAATAAACAATTAGCTGTCCAATACAAAATAGGTATATTTTATATATAGTAAATATATCAATTGAAATAATATATCATAGGAGACCTGGAAGTGACAGCTTTGAGGGAAACAATCAAAAAGAGGCAGTTGAGATGGTTTGGTTATCTACGTAGAATGGATGGGGACCGTGATCCAAAAAAGTTTTTTGAGGACAGGCCAACTGGACAATGTCCTCGAGGAAGATCTAGATTGCTATGGATGGACCACATCTCCAGGATTGGTGAAAAGAAGGGGAAGCGTAACAATTCAATGAATGTACTGGCTCGGGATCGGAAAGCTTGGCAGTCCATGTTGGTGCCTACATGGTCGCATATCAATGTCATCAAACACCATCAAGCACTTCCACACACACAAATGTATTGTTATAGATATACCAATATTTCAGAGAATGGCTTGTTTGATTTGGTTCAAAGTTGGACAAAAGGTAGATATTGGTAAAAAAATAATATAGTATCAATTTTATTGAATTCAGCCTACTACTTTCTCTTTTATACCTGTTTTATAGAATACCTCTGTATCTCTAAAACTGCAGGTTCAATTTGGCTCAAATTTTAGCTTAATAAAACAGATTAAGAAATACATTTAATTTTTTGGGGGAAACGATGTCATGACCCAGGGATGCCTAATGTCTAATACCAGCACTGCTAACCGTGGCTCTTAAATATTTCATAATTGCTGGTATCTACATCAGAGAACCTGTCTACTGTTTTTCCCAAAAGATTAGGTCCTGATCTCACCAAACGCAGAACATGTTCTTCTTTCTATAGTGACTCTTATTTGAAATCAGTGCTGATGGTTCGCCAGGAGTTGCCTAAGATCTTTGATGCTTAGGACTCTCAAAATATATCCAATTTTCATCACCCGCCACAATTCAATGGAGAAATGCCTTTGTACCTGGTGATAAGAATTAAAGAGGTGGTTTTTCTTGCACTCTTTTATTTAGTTTGTGTGGAATCCATTTTCCTATCTTTTGGATATTTCCTATGGCTTTTAAATGTATAGACAGTTTCTTGGAGACAACATTCAATTGATCCATTATTTTACATGGCCTAACCTTTACAATACACGTGTTGCCTGGTAACCTGAAGATTACGAATTCAAGTTCCAGTACTGGGGGTATCTAACTCTGTCAATAATTCTTTGGCACCAGAAAAAACTCAAAAGAGAAGTACGTGTATGTGAAGATAAAATATTAAGAATTATTAACTATGACATTTGGAATATATGATAATTGACTTACCTATTAAAATATCTGGATTTTGTATGACGGTATTTATCTAATCACAGGCACACTTGAGAATCGAGAGTAGATTCAACTGAAAATATGGCTTCATCACTAGATATGCCTTTACATGCTTCTCTTAGTGTTGCCAATTCTTCAGATGTAGCTTCCACCTTAAATAAATACAAAAATATTTTAGTAAATAAACAATAATCTAAGTTTGAAGGATGTTAAAAAAAAATAATAATTATAATAAAAAAAATGGTAAATGCATGAAGACGATAGATTATTATACAAAAAACAGGATCTGCATATTTCATTGATCTTGTTCATTATATAACGTCATAAGTATGCAGACAATTAATGCAGTCTTCAAATAATCTATCTTAACCCAGACAAACTAGCATGAGACTAAAAAAATGTAGTTTTGAATTTATAGATTTAGCACTCATGTTAAATTTTTTACTCTAATCAACCAGTATAATTCAACTTGATCATTTCAGAGACTAAAATCATTCAAGGATTTCTAATGTTCCATATAAGTGAAAAATGTTACTAAGTATATAAAAAATACATAAGTATATTAATACTATACAAGTGAAAAGTTTATTTTAAACTTTAAGATTTCCGATGTGTAATACATAGGAAAAGTCAACTAATTAAAGTGTTTTTGCATATGGATTAAAATATCTCAAAAATTAAAAATTGGACATACATACTGTAAGCGAGGGAATTGTTCAGTATTAAATCCTCTCTGTAATGCGCTATCATTCAAAATTTTTTATTCACGTGTTTTATATTAGATAGACAAAAAGGGAAAATATAGTATTAAAAACCGAATCAGAACGAATTTCATACTAAATATTGTCATATTTAATATGAGGAATCATACTAAAATTATGAAAATATTTATGATCATCACATATTTTAGTTATCATAAAACTATTGTTACATTTTTAGAGCATGATACTAACTTTATATGATCAGTTAGAGCAAAATTTACTGGAGTAATCTTTTTTTTTTTTTTTGCACTTTCATTTATTTACCCGCACCTGTCAATGGAGTAATTTAAACACAATTATGATTGTATATCTTGTAAATGTTATAAATTTTTGAATATAGAACAAAAAATATTTATATTTCGTATTATTAAGTCCACCTTTTTGAAGTTTTCCCTTCTATCGTGTGGTCTTAAGCACATAGTGCAGATTTTTTTTATTGTATTTGATAATTCCAAACATACTTACACAATGGGATTGAGTGAAATCTACTGCTCATTTCCAAACTAAATATGTTAAGCACTCAAATAAATTTAAATATTATTATTTTTTAGTATTAGGATGAACAAAATTATAACTTAAGAGATTATCGTGTCTGAAAATGAGATACGCGACTTTTGGAATTTGTAGAGGAATATGATCATGATAGGTTTCCAAATGGGTATTTGAGGGCTATAATATTAACTTAAATTTTTCAAAGCCCCATAATTTAAGAAAAGATTCAGATTTAGCTAGGATACTATTGCAGATACCTTAATAATACTATATCAGAATGACAACAGTGGGGATGAGAGAGGATTGCCTTTGCTTCCAATGTCAAGATTGTGTACTGTACAAAGATATCATGCAACTGGAGTTTTTTTATTTTTTTTTATTGGTAAATAATGAGTATTTAAATACCTAAATTTCTAGCATCTCGACTAAATATTCAGGTAGCCTTATAGCCTTAATATCTTATAGCCTTAATTTAGGGAATGCTGAGTTGAAGACCAACCTTGATCAAGCAACATACCCTTAAAAATTTTATCTCAATTTTGATTATGCCCAGTTTAAAGAATTGTTTACTAAGTAAAGGTATCTGACATGATATAATTTAGGCTAAATACAAGAACAACTAATTTGAAATTAATGGTATAATTTAAGACTCAACAAAAGTAGATCAAAATATAGATATGTACTATAGCCACAAAGAATTGAAAATAACTTTGTTCTGCGACAATGTCCCATAAGAATAACAGCTCTTTACAGAAAAATAAAGACTATTTCTGGCCCAAAAAATTAAATACTGAATAAATAAACAAAACCAAAAATCATTAATTATTTAAAATATTTACAACAAATGCAGAATAATAAAGAAAAACAAAATAAAATACTATAAGGAGAGAGGGGGGAAGGAATCTCGGGCAGCGTGGCTGTTCTTGATGGACGGCCATTCATCCAAGTGCTGGCCACGCTCGGTATTGCTTAACTTTTGAATTTTTCTGAGATTTGTCCATTACTGGAATCGACCTCCTGTCCGTTACTAGAACAATTGAAGTTTGGGGTGTCCATCACCAGTGCAAAAAGGCGTTTTTTTTTTGTTTTTGTTTTTTTTTAAATGGAGATTATACGTGCATAACTGAATATTTTTTCAATTTAAAGTGCTAAATAGAAAAAAAGAGACCCTAGAGATTCTAAACACATAAAAAAGAAGTTTATAAATATAATAATTATGCGGCATAAGTCAAAAATTTCCTTGGCTATGTCCATTACTGGTGCGCTTACCCTAGTGATTGTAAAAACACACACAAATCGTTTAAAGCTTATGAATTTATATATTTTTGTTAAGATGCAATAATAGCCTGTAATACTATACTAAAGAGGCAAAACCAATTTATTAACTTCTTAACTTCAAAGAAATGATTGAGGGAAGGAATTGATGTAGCCGGAAAATCACTTAATAATAAAAAATAATTATTACAAACCATCATAATAAAGGTTACTACCTGACTTTCCTGTGAGGTAAGGTGGTGCCTAGCATACTCTAGCCTCTCAGCATCCTCCTTTTCACCGATGGTAAGAACTCCACGTTTGAGATTTGCAGGATCAATACAAACTGGCGAGAATGCTCCAGCATGGTTCTCTCCAAAACTTTCTTTTAACATTGACTCCCCAGCATCCTCATCACTTCCTCTGAAATATTAATATATTATTTAATATATTGAGACAAGTACCATTCTCATAAAAAAAAAAAAAAAAATCTTATTATAGATTTGTAAGCATCAAATAAAATAAAATCAGTTAAAGTAGCCTTAATAATGGGTGAGTGAACAAGGTACTGCCGTTTTTTATCTACATAATTTTTGTTTACTTACGTGCTTCTAGCAACACTGAGACCAACTTTATTCAAGAGCTAATCCTCTGTAGTTGGGTTATAAGTCAGTTTTAAATCCTTAAAGTGCATATAACATTGTTTATAACTCTTCATATGGAGGATTTTTAACCCTCAAAACTGTTAAAAGTTCCCACCTGCTGTATTCACCAGACATTGCTCCTTTAGACTACCACTTGTTCCGATTGCTGACTCACATCCAGGCTCAGCAGCATTTCCATTTGATGAAGCTGAATATGGATTGATGACTGGGTTGCCTTAAAAGATATATCTTTTTATCAACCTGGAATCCGTATGTTATCTGAAAGATGGGAGAAAGCAGTGGCTAGCGATGGACAATACTTTGAATGACCTGCGTCTGACCATTTTTAATAGATGAGGTTTTCATTTTTATAAAAAATAAAAATAAATAAATAATGGCAGAAACTTATCCACACACCCTATAGAATAAATGATGGGCAAATTAGTTTAACTACAGGAACAATTAGCTTTAAAAGATTTCGAAAACTCAATGCAATTGAAATATTTTTGTTAAAAGGCTTTTCTTAGAGATATCTATTATATCTTAATAGAAGCTTTAACATAGAGGATCAAACTTAAATAAATGAAAAGCATGTGTGTACCCAGAAAGCTTTGTCCCTAATTATAAATTAGAAGTATTCTTACCTATGCTCTTCTCCTATTTCTTGTTCTTGCTGTCTTTGTTTTACTTCAAGTAATGTAAATATCCGTCTGTAAAAAGCTGCATGTATCCGAAGATGTTTATCTCTGAGACGATCTCGTGCCATACGAGCTGTAATTATAAAATACAAATAATGTGAATTTTACTTTTTGGTAAAAATTATAAATAATGTTTATATAATTTATTATTTACCCTATTTCAGCTTAAAATTTAATTTGGCTAATAATTTTGTGTTATAAATACTTCCAAATTGCAAATCAGACATATGGCAAACAAAAATAAAACTATACAAATCAATCGCAGAAAGCACACTACTCCATTCATCTGAAATTTGGAGGTCCTGGAAGAACGAACTTAAAAGGCATATTAAAAAATTCAAAAGCACAAATGATGACAATTTTATTAACAATCTTTCGACAGATGATGGAAGTTTATGGAGACATACAAGGAATATTTGAAAGCATCGTGAGATATCCCTTAAAGAGCTAGACAAAGACAATAACAACCCTTCTTCACATAGACCAATTAGTTTGCTTCCAGGATGATCTAAGTTATTCGAAAAACTGTTGTACCCAAGACTATTACATATACTAACAGACAGACAGATTATTCCTGACCATCAATTCGGGTTTCGAAAATTACATTCAACAACACAACTGCACAGGGTGACTGACTACATATTGACAGCACTAGAGCAGACAAATTATGGCATCAGGGATTTCTCTTCAAGCTCAAGACCATACTTCCACAACCCTCCTAGTTAATTCTTCATTCCTTTCTATCAGACAGATTTTTCTCCATTCCACATGGTCAAGGTCTATCCTCAATTCAACCAATTTTAGCTGATGTATCTCAGGGATCGATCCTAGTCTCATTACTATACATCACATACATACAGGACATCCCTCAAAGTATCCACACCCTTACAGAATCCTACACAGAAGACACCGCTATCACTACTAGACACGAAAACCCTACACAAGCATCACTTGATCTACAATATCACTTACAAATAATACTAGATTGGGGTAAACTTTGGAAAACTCAAATAAATGATCAAAAGTCACATCACATTTACTCTAAGACTAGAAACATGCCCTCCTGTATACTTAGACAACATACCGATTCCACAAACAGATAGAGTACAATACCTAGGCCATAAGAGGCTACGTTCCATAACAGAATGATATGGGGTCCACATGTAAAGAAAAAACAAGTCACATTAAATCTAAAACAAAAATTGTCACACTCACAGTTAAGACGACATTCCAAATTAAAAGCAAGACAAAACTAAGTATTTACACATATCTAGTAAAACCTCTTTGGATTTACCGACTACAAATAAACAGAATTGCAAAACCAACACATGTAATAAGACATCAAACTTTTCAGTCTAAGATGCTAGAACTAACTCAATCACCATGGTATGTGAACAACCAAACGTTACACACCGACTTACACGATCCGATGGTCAACACATACAAAGTAATAATAATAACAATACTTTATTTATTCTGGGTTACTACAAACGATTTCATAATATGTTAAATGGACACTCCAACCAGTTGATAAAAGAAATGGCCACAAGTATGCCTGGAAACTCCCAAAGACAACTGAAAAGGGTCTGGATGAGGGATCTACTTAATTTTTTTAGTAAATAAAAGCCATGGTAGGGAGCTGGTTATTGCTTTTACTCATGCCTCGATAGTTACAATTGACAGCTGTGGATAAATAAATGAAAGTGCAAAAAAAAAAAAGTAAATAAACTATAAAAATAATACCTTTTAGATGGGAAACAAGAGATTGCCAATATCCAATATCAGTTCCTTCTTCTTTATCAATGATTTTCTTCTCAATCTGTTTTATCATGACCGTAAGTTGTGATGCTGTTTTACCTCGGAAGACTTTAGCTACAGATTTATGAATACCTTCTCTTCTTTCGACAGCTGAAATTGAAATAATTAAGGGGCTGCATAAAAATAATTAAACTTAATGGGTTAGAAAAAAATCATAACTTTATCTATTAATTAGTTGAGATAACAGCAGAGGTCTTGGTAATCTGAATCCTGGTAATCATAATTCCCAATAATCTGAGGGATTTTCCAATTTTTTACTTTCACTTATGTATATATGTAATATATAGTAAGGGTAAGTAATGCGATCGAGAAAATTTTTGATTCTGAGTTTTCAACGGAAATACACTTTCCAGTTTTCGGATACCCTGTCCAAGTAACCAAGTCCCGAAAAATGGTCTGTGTGAGTGTATGTTAGCAGTCTAGCTCAAAAACGAAAAGTAGTACAAAACTGATATTATGTAACTCTCATTGTTAGGAGTTATATAAAAAATGCTAAATGTATCTTTTAAAAGAATTTGATAATTGAATAATGAAGAAAAATGCTTATTCAGGTCGAAACGAATCTCGAGGGAAATAATAGTCAAAAGATATACGTGTAATATATCATTGGAAAGCGGAGAATTTTAGAAAAAATAATATCAAATAAATAAAGTTGTAGAAGATAACGGAAAGTGACGAAAAAAATATAAATAATAATGTCAGAAAACTAACATTATTTAACATAAATCACATGTTTCCAAGGAAATTAAATGAAATTTTCTAACTAAATGTAAACTTTAAAAATTTTTTTAAGTTTGAAAAAAAATATTTTAAATCCACCAAATCAAGGTAATGGCATTGTTTAAAATACTATTTCATTGTACTTTTGTGTAAGAAAAAGTGAAAAATAAAAATATTTCATGGATATGTTTATAATCTTGAAAACATTTATTGTAGTTTAATAACGGTTAAATATTCAGATGTACTTTCAAATCTCTCTAGGCATATATGATCCTTTTGGTAGACAGAATGACTAATTCCAATTTTAACATTCTTTATTATTAATTTTAGTAATGTTTCTAGTAGCAAAATTTATATCTTTATTCACAGTGTCTTCTTACTCACTGTCTGTATAGATATAACTTTTATGATAACTAGAAATATCACTAAAATGAGATTACTCAAAAATTGTAAATTAGTTGACAGAATGCAACTGAAAGGCTCAGAGAGCGAAGTTATGTAGTTTTTAAAAACAGATGGATAACTATATTTTTATAGCCTACTGTCGATATAATAAAGAAACTTTTTGTGATTTTAGCTTCAGCTATGTTTAAAGTGCACTTTAAAAATTTATAATAGTCCAACATTGCCATAAAATAATTTCTATTCAAAGTAGAGTGGTAAGTGAAAATTTTGTGTTGCTCGTACCAGATTTTTTCATTTTGTGCTCAGAGAAGAAAAAGAACACCCATCCTGGGACCCTAATATTATTATATATATATAATATATATATATATATATATATATAATATATTATATATATATATATATATATATATATAATAATATATATTATATATTATATATTATTAATATTAATCTTTTTTTTTTAATTTACCTGCTTCATTGTCTGATTTTTTTTCCATTTTCCTCAGCTTAAACAATTCATTTTCAACAATAACAGTAATATCATTCCAGTAATCTAAATTCTTTCCTTTTTCCAGTTTCATATAGACCTGAAATAAACATAATTTGGTCAGTAACAAAAATAGATCCTCTACAAGTTCATAAGATGGGTTTGTTGCGTATCAAATATCTATTCCAGTGGACCTTATATGAAAGCTTAGAAAAAATGTATTTTATATAATTTAAAAAAAAAAAAAAGTCATTTACTTTGCTTCTGCTTTACCAATATTTTTATGTTACTATATACCAATCGATATATTTTTTTTGCACAGAATTAGAAAAAAAAATAATCTATAGTACTAAATAAGGTATAATGTGTCTTAAAATTCGAGAATCAAAAGAGGTTTGCAGTAAAGTAGACCAAATCCACATGAAATAAGAGATTTAGGGCCCTATATGGTACACGAAATGGCACAAACCAACTAGAAACCAAAAATATAAAGTAAAAATGTTTGAGAAGTTTTCCTTTATTTTTAACTTTTAAAGGAATAAAATCTAAAAGTTATTTTTTGTGGTCATTTTTTCAATGGTTGAATTTAAAGAAAATCCTTGGTTATGAATGCTTTAGTTAAGGGCCAGGAAAAAATCCAGCAAGAAAATCAAGAACGAAAAGTTTTAGATGAACATTAAATATAAAAATAACTTGTTTTTCATTAAAGAAATTTACTTAACCTACTTAAATGAAAAGCTCTTTTGGTGTAGGTAATTTAAGGAACATTATAACTCATTTAATAAAATATTTATATTAAAAATAATATATTTACAATAGGAAATATTTTTTTCGAATCCTACACTAAAAAATAAATTTATTTGGTATATAATAACATAGAAATCCGGATGGATAAAGTTATTATTAACCGGATAAAAACGGAAAAATTTTTTTTTTCATATTATGCAAAATAATTTTTTTATTCGGCTCCTAAGGGACATGTATCCAATATTTTTAAATGTATAATGACAAAAAAAAAAAAGATTGAAATAGGTGACCCACTACCTATGAACTCTCCTTATGAGAATTAAGACTCATTTAAAATAATACCTTAATATCTTCAACAAGGTCTTCCAACTCTTTAATTGATAGACCATTGAGATAGGTGTAGGGTTCATCCATCTCGACAAAATCCACTTCTTCTTCTTCTTCTGAATTGATATATTTTGCAAGAAGATCAATAGGTTTTGCTGGAGAAAAAAAAACACACCATTATGATATCAGTATTACTAACATACTGGGAAAGTCGAAAGGAGTAGGAACGAGGCAAACCTCAGGAGTGGGTTGGACACAGGAAAATAATTTTTAAATAACTCATATATTCTTATCTGATTTTCATTTGTTTCAATTTTATTGACTAATTACAAATAAATATTTGATATATGCATTAACATTTTGATTACCGAATTCTTATTTTAATAAATGTTTGAAAATACTACCATTGACATCTTAACATTTTTGGATACAGCCCAATTTTTTTAAATTTTATTTCTAATTAGAATTTCACTGTAAACAAAAATATATAGTGTATATGTGTGAAAATATATGTGTGAAATATTTGTTTATTTGTTTTTTTTTTTTGTAATTAGCAACAACTTAAACAAATAAAAACATGATAGGAACAACATAGTGAGTGATAGCAAACCACTCCTGGAGTTTGACCAATTCCTATTGACGACTCACCCTATATATAATTTTGACATGAAGATTATTTAATTAATTACTATAAAAAACCATCAGAGTAGTATAATAGTTTAAAATATAACTGCTCCCTCCAAACCCTCCAATGTTAAGCTGTCTTGACATACAAATTGGTTAAAAGTCAAATAAGTAAGCTAAAAAGAGAAAAAAACGCATTGTCCCAAAATGGTGGATTCACGATTTTGACTCAAGTTAGATGAGATTCAGTATTTATCTTAATTTTGTGATAATTAGCCTCTTATTAAAGCTAGCCAGTCAGAGATTATAATACAATATAATATATTAAAAAAAAAAAAATTGGCCTTGGCACTAAAAAACAACAGTAAAGTCAATTTGAAAAAAATTCAGTTGAAAATCAAGCGCTGTATGTAATTAAACGGCCAACAACACCGAGAAACGCTCTGAAATAAAACATCTTGAGAATATATTTCTTTTTCTAAATTAGTGATTAACTTTTAAAATATTTGAAACAATTCTTTAGAAAATACACTTAATCGGCGGAAAAAGCAATACTAGTGTAAGCGCCTACCTTCTACTGGCACACCATTCCATACTCATAAATGACATAGTTATAATGCTATAATGTTTTTGGTATATTATTTTGATTCCATTACAGAACAAATATTAATGTAAAAATGTCATTGTCCAAAGCAATTATAATTGTTTTTTTTACTTCTTATATTCTATACTGAGGGCATTTGAGACGCACTTTATTGTAATATTCATATAATTATGATAATAAAACCTAATACCTATCAGTAATACCTAGCAATTAAACACGATTTTGTATATTTCTTGGTACTTTGAGGTTTGTTAAATTGTATGTACTTTCTGGAAATGAATCATATTCACTGCATCAATCATTTGATTGACTGAACTTCCAATTTGTTGGACTAGCCAATAAGAATTAAAGGGAAGGAATGACAATCGTTTTTACTCAAACAATTTAATATTAGTTACTGCGAAGTAAAAATTCTAATCCAAGTTGTTTTAGAGTAAACAGGGCACAAATAGGTATTAGAATTCCTCAGCCACCAATACAGTGCTGTTATTTACAAATAATTATTAACTTTTATTGCAAGACAATAACTGATCTTGAGTAGTTATAAGTTTCTTAATTACTAATTTTATTGCAAGACAATAATTGATCTTGAGTAGTTATAAGTTTCTTAATTACTAATTTTATTTTAATAATAACCTCTGGCATTAGCTATCTTGATCCTTGATCTCAGTCTTGCTTGCTCAACGTAAAATTGATCTTTCTGGGTCGCCCATGCTTCTAACTGTTCAGCTTTCTTCTCACGCTGCAATTTCACCATGGCTTCTTCGCTATATAATTAAATAATAAATATAAATATAAATAATTAAATATATATATAGATACTACCTAAATGTAAATATAATTAATAAGTAAATGAAATGAATATATGAAGCTACTCTAAATAAAATAATAATCTCCACAGCTGTACTCTAGATCTGAAAACTGACATGAACAGGACTAAAAAAGATCGATATCATCATTCAAGAAATTAAAAAGAAAATTGTTAAGAAGATGAGAAAGGCTGAGTAATCAGAAAAGTAGAAAAAAAAAAACTAGCTCAGCAATGATGACATTGTGATAAATAACAAGTCTATGGCAAATACATGGTATTTTTATACAAAGAAACATAATTCATTTCATTAAACACCACAATATTATTAAATAATAAATGAAAATGAGAAGTCAACAACATAGGATAATGGACAGAGGAGATGTAGGGCAATTTCTATATAATTAGAAATTTGTTGTTGCTCAAATAATTAGATAGAAAATATGTTTTAATAAATTTAAAAAAAAGGTTAATTATTTTAACTTTCAAGCGGTAACACTCGGTTCAGATCGACCCAAGCCTCATGTTTTTGTATAGTACGCATTCGCCTCTAGGATTTTCTTCACCAAACTCCAAATACCCTCCTTTCTAGTGTTAAACTAACTGTCATAAACTGAGTTAACTTATGTAATTACATAATATACATATGTAACTTGTGTTAACTAATGTAAATTTCTGTGTTAAACTAACTGTCTTTAAAGGGATTCTGTTCTAGTAAGTGGCATTTTTGATTTATTTGTAATAAGGTACATTCTTTTCGAACTTTGGGTTAGCAGTTTGACCCATCTTCACTGTTAATGTAAAAATATTTCTATTATTTCAGTAGTTCAATATTAATTTATTTGTTTTTATAATTGTTAGTCTCACTTCTTAATGAACCAGAAGTGGATATTTACCACTTCGAAAGAAGTTTTTGAAGAAATGTGCAGCTAAGAAGAGCAATCTGATGGTAAAGGGAATACATTTTTTGATGATTTGACGGGCCAATAACAAATGATGACATTGCAGATAAATTATTTGACAAATAAGAATAAGAGGAAATAAAATAAAAGAAGAAATAGAACAAACCAAGGGGGCGTGGATGTTATGGACAAGCTTTATCATAATGTTACAACAAAATGTACTTGCCGGTGGGCTATGCTGTATTGTTTTGCTGTTCTTGATATTACTGCTGTGAACAGTTTTGTCTTATTTAAATGGAATAAAAATGAGTCAAATAATTGAAACAGAGCCAGAACCCAGTATCTAAAACAACTAGTATTTTTTTTTTTACAAAACCTATTATGACCAAGAGGCTCCATTGTGAATTTTGTCTAAGAGGGCTTCAGAGTACCATCATGAAACTATCAGATACAGAAGAAGTACTTCCAGAAAAAAATACCACTAGGAAAAAATCAAAGGAGGTGCGACTGTAGCAACAAGAATAAAGATAAAAAGGAGGGCCAATTACGTAAAAAAAAAAAAAAAAGCGACAGGTGTGTATGTGGAGAGCATCAAATTTTTGCATGCAAATATTGTTACTAAGAAGACTAAATTATGTGATATTTTATGACTGTTTTATCAGTATTTTATGTTAATGTTTATTATATGATTTACTTCAAGATTTTTTTTATTGTTCAGCCATGTTTTCAAAAAATTTCTTAAGTAATAGACTATATAGAATATATATTATGATGTTATTTATTCCAAAACCCCATAAAATAGCATAAAAATTAAAGGTAAATATTGCAAGGTCAGATTGACCCAGTGTTACTGTTACTATTTCACCCTGATGTTTTACCATTAGAGGATTAAATAAACAAAATTATAAGTATTTTAGAGAAAGAAATTTTGAAAATTCAGTATTTAAGTCCTGTCAGACTAATTCAATGAAGATAAGACCTGCCTGTTATAAAAAAACACTTGATTTTATATTGATGTAGTGAGTTTAATCAAAATTGTTGGGGCCGTTTTTGAGAAAATTGTAAAAATGTGTAAAACCTAAGAAAAAGGTGCCATTGACAGTTAATTGATTTAAGAAAAAAAGTTTATTTAAGATCCTAGACATATATCTACTTCTAATATGTAATTTTAGTTTCTTAATTTTCATTTTTGAGCTAGGCTGTTCACACACATACAGACCAATTTGAGAAACTGTTATTTTGAGACAGGGGACCTCAAAATATGTATTTCGGTTGTAAACTTGTATTTGAAATTTTTCATGATAAAAAACGCTTTCTCTTACTATATACAGGTAAGTGAAAGTAAAAATACTAATATATAAGAGTACTGAAAAAAAAAAACTTCATAAAAATTGTAGTGTATTCACTCAATTTTTTGTTTTTTTAGTGTTATCCTTGCCTTATGGTCATAAAGATTTTTTAGGCCAAAGAACAAAAACTCAATTTTTGAATGGTAATAATTCCATCTGAAATAAATTTCAAATGATTAAAGTCGGAATCAATAACACTACAATAGGAGCTGAAGATAAAGAAATGTGACAGTATTAGTCCACAATTACATCTCGCAGTATTGGTATAGCCAAGAAAAAATGTATCTTATCATTACAGCGTGTTATATAAACTAGTTGAACCATGCGAATAATTCGCACAGTATAACAGTGAGAGATCAGATATTAATAAAATATGGAAGTAAGTAAATGTACTATATTACGGGAAGGAGAAAGTCATCTTTACTTTCACTTACTCGTACATAAAATATGAGAAGGTGACTACAAAAATTCCTTCCTCTAAAGTAAATCAATTTTGTTTATTTGAAATAATTAACATCTGATATTGTTATTAGCCATACAGAATGGATATTTATAATTAACCAGAGCAGAAATAATGGGTGGTAAGGTAATACCGAGAAGGAATGACCAATGAAGACACCTCAGAGCACTCAAGTTTGGCCAAGGGGTTATGATATCTCACAAATGTAAGATCTGTGTAATTTATGTTATATCATAGACGAGAAACTGCAGGTCCGATAATACTATGCATATATATATTTGCAGTTTTCATAAATGATAGTTCTGGTAATAATTAATATCTGGTTTAACATATTAGAGCAATATGAAAATTGCAATTTTATAAATATTATGTTTAAAGAAATAAAAATAACTAGTCAAATATATATAAATACAGAGGCCTCCATTATACTGACCTAGCACCCTAATCAAAATATTAAAAAAATCTTATATTTGATACAAAACTGATTTCGAGCTTAAGTGAAATAATATATATGCGGTTCCCCTAGAAACTGGTTACATTTTACTTACTATTACAATCAAAGAACTAAACATTTCCAAAAATATTGTAATAGATAATTGGTAGAATATTCAAGTTATATTCTGAGCTTATTGCAACAAAGATAATGATCATAATCAAATAAAAAAATTAAACATTTTCTTTCAAATATATTTGTAAGAAATGTAGAAAACTTTTAAATAGCTATAATCAACCATAAATTGTTTACTTTTTGATTTATTAACAAATAATGTATTCATTTATAACTTTTTCACTGATTTTAGTGGATAATGTGCTTATTTTTCGGTAACAAAGGAGAAGATAATCATCAAAATGATAGCTCAATCATTGGAATTAATGAAGTATTAAAGAAACTTCGAGAATATTATATTATCAGTTTATTGCAAAAAGAATATACAATGATAGATACTCTGATACTGATCAGGCTCTCATGGAAAATCGTTCACTTTTAATTAGTTTTTTAAATAATCAGAAAACAACATACCTCCGTTTTTCAGTTGCTGACCTGATTGTAATTAAATCTCATCTTAAAATTTATTAAAAAGAAATAATGCATATAACCTCCTCCTCTCACATTGATAGGAATTCAATCAACCAACATCACATGGCAACACTACAACTAATGTGAGTCTGTATGACAGCAAACCCTTCATCTTGCATTGTATGGTTTTAAACTCAGGGTCTAGTATGTTCCAGAGGAACTTAACCAAGTCTTGATATCTGTATCAAAATCTTCAAAACCAACTTTGTCTTATCTCGATATACCGACTTATAACTGTCACAGTATTGAAGCTTTGTTAAATGAGAAACTGCTTTGTACCCAATTCAAGGCATTCGAGCATGACAGGAGCTTATATTTGATAAAAAACCAATTTTGAGTGAAATAATATATGGTAGAATAAACTACCAGTTTACTTATGTCACTGCACTGACAGGTTATCCAGAATGTTTATAAGGTTTACAACATAGATGGCACATTCCTAGCCATAGCCAGGCAGCATTTGTATCATGGAGGGGTACTGCCAATCTATGTCTCCTCCACCTTAACTTTATTAGAAATAAATATCAAAATTACTATGTTTAGGGTGTTTATTAAGTCCTTTTTTTTTTTTAAGTTTAAAACTATTAAGTCACTTCAGTCTATCGAATAAACACACATTCCATTTTCGATGTTATAAAGAGATATTACTGCCACTTAATTTTTTTTATCCATTAAACTATCATATTTCCAAAATTATTGAAATGAAGCACTCTTTAATTAATTTTTACAGAAGTTAAGTTTTATGGTTTGATTATGACATTGAAAAAGATTTATCAGAATAGTTTAACTAACTAGTTACTATAATATATTTGGAAATAGACTAAAGTACTTAACTTAGTTGAAATAAACATATTTAGTTACCATCAGGGCACCAGTTTACCTCTGTCACTCCAACCCTGGTGTCACACCAAGTGAAGTTCTAAAAATTGTAAACAAAACTATATAACCTAGTGACAGACTCAAAGCTAAGAAGAGTTATTATCTAGAAATTAAAACAAGCAATAACGAAAATTTTAAGTGCTATTAATACTACACTTGTCTACTGTATACTGTGCACAGGATTTAATTGTTCTAAATACGAAATCTAAAATAGTTTCATCATTAGATTATAATATATTTTCTGAAATACCTTCTATCCTGTCTATCATCTCTTCTATCTCTGTCGCGACCACGCAATTCGCTCCTTCGTTTAGAGGATACTTCTCGAGCCATTATTAAATAAAATACACAAGAGAAACACACGGACAACACCCACCAAGCACTGACCCTTACAACACTAACAAAAGATTAGGTCCAACAAGTAGTCCTGGCCTGTTTTCGCAAGCGCACTACCGATTTGGGGGTCCAATAACAAAGCCTTTGTTATTGGGCTGGGACCGGCATATTCAACGGTAGAAGTCCAATGCCGGCTTGTCAACGGCATCGATTTTCTGACCTACTCTTTTGCCGAATCCTCCGAAGCATATTTTGAATAATAATTGGTAATTGGTTGACTGTCGTGGATAATGAAGAGAAGAACAGTTGGGGTGGTCAGTAAATAAGTGATCAGTCAATGACTGAAGAGTCAATAAGTGGTCAGTCAATGACTGACCACCCCAACTATTCTTCTCTTCATATTTTGAATAAACATTGCTATTCTGTAAATATTCTGGGAATTACAGAACTCCAAGACTGCTTACTTTGTTATTTCTTGAACCTTGAAACTTTTTGGTGTCAGTTTTAACATTTTTGTCGTAAGTTTTGATAATTTTCGGATTTTTTTTTTATAAGTGCATTTTATAATGGAGAGGACGAAGAAATTTTTAAAAATTTGCGAGAATTAGATGAGGAAGAACAGTATCAAAAAAGTAAAAAGAAAAACTTAGGAGACGAACATTTTGATGATGTAGAAAGTGATACATATCTTTTTGATTCTGAAACCGAATCGGCTGATGAATCAGATAAGGAGTTGGTTTTTAAGCAAACTTAAAAACTAAAATAATAATTTAGCTGACCAAAATTTTGATATTTTTCAAAATGCTTTGCCATCTGCTGAGGGTACAGCAATATTGGAAGATGATGATGGATGGGAAGATTGGCATGATGGTGAGGATTCATTCCCAAGCTTTACGTTTTCTGGTCAGGAGGGATACCAACGACCTAATCCTGCTCCTATTATGGAAAAAGAATTTTTCAGTTTTTTTTGCACCTGAGTTGCTACAACAAATTGTTTTTGAAACTAATAAATAGGCGAAATCAGAAATTAATATTAAAAAAGATGCAGGTCTATTGAAACGTGGCTCAATTTGGCAATCTTGGAAGGACCTGTCTTAGGAAGAAATGGAAGCATTTTTGGGGGTTACTAATTAATATGGGCATTCATGCATTCCCTGAACTTGAAATGTATTGGTCAAAAGAATTTATGAATAAATATCCTCTTTTTTCAGAAATTTTCTCCAGAAAAAGATCCCTACAAATATTTTAGATGCGCCATATAGCTCCTCCTCATAAATCTCACAAGGGCACACTCTCAAGGAATGGTAAAATTAAGAACATGCTATTATTCCTCAACAAAAGATATAAAGAGTTATACCTTCCAAGACAATACTTATCGATAGACGAAGCTACTGTTTCATTAAAAGGCAGGGTCTCTTTTAAGACTTATAACAAAGATAAACCAACAAAATGGGGTTTAAAAGTTTATGCAGTAGCTGTAATGTATCCATTTACAGCATCAGCTACTGCATAAACTGCCAACCAAACAGCATAATTCCGTATTTTGGATCTTTAACAATACAAGTCATGATTCGTCCTGATTTGTTATTCATCAGCAGAGTTGTACTAACTCTTGCTCTGTCTGTATTGCATACCACTGGTGCCAGTGGGTACCATTTTTTTACTGACCGGTACTATACAAATATAGAAGTAGCTAAAAAACTACTGAAATATGACTCACTTGACTGGAAAAATTCGGTTAAACAGAAGAGGGCTTCCTTCAAAACTGAAGAAAAACAGGAAAGAAAAAGTCCCAAAATGAAAAAGGGGAAACGCGTGCTTTTAAGAAGGACAAAATTGTCTGGAGAGGCTGAACCTCAGTAAATTTCACGCTCCATACAAATGGTCCAACAAAACTAGAGAGTGCAGAGTCTGTAGCGATCGTTCCAATAAAAATGGGAGAAGAGAAATACATATTTACTGTAAGACATGCCCCAGAAATCCGGCTCTTCACATTGGGGAATGTTTTGAGAAATATCATACGATAAAAAATTATCAATGAATTTAATTATATTAATTAACAAAACTGTATAAATTACTTTTTATTTGAATAAAAATTGATTCTTGAGAATAAATAAGCAGTTGTATAATTTGTATGACCTATAGGGAACAATGGTGCGAAGTAAACAAAAGGACGTGGATTAATGGGGGGAGGGGGAGTGGTGTTTATGCCTTACTGGACCGGCATAGGATCATGTAGACATTCATGAAATTAAGAGCGGGGCCGCAAAGGGTTAAGGGCCCTTACACGATCAATATTTTGAAGAGTTACCTCACATGGATCTTTCTTTTTTGTGGAAATGAATCACCTATTACTTTAATTGCCTTGACTTAAACATTAAAAAATAAAAACCTTAAATATGTAATTTCACTTTCATACAGATTTCCGATTTTGAGCTAGATACATACATACACACAGACCATTTTGCAGGACTTGGTTATTTGGACTCAAGATACCTCAAAACATGTATTTCCGTTGGAAACTCAGATTCGAAAATTTTCAGGATCGCAGTACAATATATTTCATATATAAATGTAAGTCAAAGTAAAAAAGTGTTCTTTGTAATGTTTATTTTGTTCTTAGACATTAAAATGTTTCAAATTGGCTCTGTTCTTGTTTCCTAATTATTTTATATTTAAAAGAAAGTTTAGTAATAAAAAAAAAAAATGGTTTTTAAATTTTGTATAAAAAGTATCACCCACCTACCCAAACTTATTAACCATTTTATCTTTAATAAATAATTCGGAGGGAGGTCAACCTCCCCCAATCTCAAAAAAACATAAATGTAAAACAAAGTATCACTCACCTACGGAAATATGCATTCATTTTATAAAAATATCGTTGGAGGGGAAGGGAAAGGAGTAAATCCCACTCCCACCAAAATAAAAGTTAAACATAATATCACCCACTTACCGAAACATTTAAGTTTTGCTTCAAGTTCACCAAACAGCCGCAGTCAAGGTGGGGTAATACAAGGGATAAAACTAGGAGTTGATGGATTTTACACAACTAGCAGAAGACTTACTTACAGAGACTTTCAATTTAAATTTATATATATATATATATATAATATATATAAATTTAAATTAGCAAGTCAATAACTGAAAGCAGTCATTTTAAGAAATTTAATGAGGCTTGGGTATCGTTGTTGTATATGGATTGTTTTCTGAGATGAGTTCTTGAAGTTGAGCAAAATCGATTATATATAGTGTCGATTTCGGTAAGTGAAAAAATTACTGTAATATCACAGGCCTTTCTCATACATATAGCACCAACCTTGAATATTTAATTTCAGTTTCTTAAAAATTTTTGTTTTTGTGCTTTACTATTCAAGTTATAAGGACCCAGGAAAACTTAATAATGTGTATTCTCTTGATAACTTAGATTCGTTATTTTTCACAATCGCATAACTTTCTCTTATATATTTCATATATAGCTATGAAATATAAAGTATTTCATTTTTACTGCTTAGTAAAAATTTAATCCTTAAGCACTTGAAAACTTTAGTTTTGTAATTTTTATTTTTCTAATAAATTCCTTGTATGACAATAAATTTCTTTATATTTGTATCAAATTTAATTAGAAACTTAATTAAATTTCGGAGGAATTTTATAATGATCTCTTGATCTCATTAAAATGTCAATTTAATATATACAATTTTTTTTTCAAAAAAGAAAGAAGCTTTCTTTTGAACAACTGTATATATGGTTATGGGGTAAGTTCAATACATAAGAAGGTCCAATTACATGAAAATAAATAATTTTAATTTAATGATATATATTCATTATTTTTAAAAATGCTTATTAGAATTATATTAACTGGGTAATCAATCCGAAATAATTAAAATAAGAAATAGAAAACAATGAACTATATTTTCAAAAATTATGAACCTTGTCTTGATCACAACTTAGTCAATACAAACTTCAAATAAATAAAATCAATGTAAGACGCTCAAACATGTTTGAAATACATTTCTAATTTTATTATATTTTTAGATTTTATTCTGTATATACACTAAAGTAACATTTAACAGATAATTGAGTATATTTAATTTAAATAAAAATTTAAAATAGCTAAAGATAAGAATTCTTAACAACATTTAATCTATTTACAATACATTATCGATATATTATATTTACATAAACTAAAACATATTAAAATCATCTTATAACTAACATCACAGATATTTCAAGCAGTTGTAAAGACTTAAGATATAGCAGCTAATTTCTGTATAGTTTCAACATCCCTGATTAACATTTGAATGGTTTGTTTCATTACTTTATCAGAAACTGAATTACAAACAGGGTCTTGTGATTCCAGTGCTGAAAAACAAAGCAAAATATAATTACTTGAAATGTCCTTAGATCAGTTTAATGGATTTAGTAGAGATTTAATCCTTTAAGTATGTGAACATTAAATTTCCTTTAATGATTTTTAGTTTAAAAAAAAAAGAATAATTTTACCAAAGCTGTAGCTAGAAAAACACTCCTGGTATATTTATGAGATAATTTGTAATGATTAGCAAGTAAATTAGATTCCCTTGAAGCAAACAGTTCAAGTTGTTAAGTTATTACTGTTTAATGATAGATTAATAATTGACTCTCTTAGATAGAATGAAGAGAAGTTAGTTGGCAGGTTCAGTACTGTTCAAAGAAGTAAAATTATAAAAATAATTAATTTTTTTTTACTTTGTTATTTTTTTGACTGAAAACTCAAACTAAATTTTCTCAAACATTACTCTTTAAGAATTAAGAAACTGTTTGAAGTAGGTAAATGTTTTATTGCAGCTATAAGATTATAGAATAAAATTTGGAGCACACATCACACAACTTTAACTTACTGCTCTATTTGAAATAGAAATAATATTTTTTCTGCAATATTGGGCTGTTACATAAATATTTTTAATGGAGCTAGACATTTGTTAATTTCGGTCATATTTATCATTGCAAATATTCATCAAAACAATACCAATCCTACTTATTATATCGGCTGTAGGAATTATAAACCTCATAACTTCATAATCTGCTTATTTCAACCACTTAATTCCAGTCTATGAGCTCTATATACAAAGAGAGATCTGAAAGCACATTTATATTTTCCATCTATAAAACAGCTAGTTTTGGCAGTTTCAAGTGAAACTTTATGCTGACTGCACCCCTGAAGAAGCCCAGCATATTCAGGTCAAAACGTTGGTTTAAAATAAAATAGTTGTTCACTATCTTAAGTTTTTTTTAATGACTGGCACCCCGACCATCTCCTTTTTGGATATTATACAACGGTCAACCATTTAGTACCCAATATGACTCAAAAATTGAAATTAATATCCTAGAAGTAATCTATCACAATAAGCCAGTTGTATAATATTCATATCTTATGTGAAATGAGATTTCCTTTCAGAAGCAATAATTTTTAGCATTTGGCAACTATTTTGCTCTTAACAATGAACAAATATAATGATTTTTGAGGTTTATACTAAATTCATTTATAAAAATTTTAATTTGTTTCCTTCCCAATTTAAAAACTATTAACACTGTCCTCTCTTGAAGTGTAATTCACTTTATTTATATGGGTACATTCTCTCCTTTGACATAATCCTGGTTGATATTCATATTCATTACTATATTAAAAAACATAATAACAATAAATATCAAGTTACCTGCTATCTGAGCCTGTATCGATGTCAAACGATTTTCTAATTGTGAAAACGTGTTTTCAACATTATCAAGAAGGCGAATACGACACTCTTCTAAATCTATTGGTGCTTCAGGCTGAGGCCCAGAATGTTGTTTTACTCCTGACAAGTAAAAATAATTTAAAATGTTGAGTATATGATTGCCAATTATATAAGTAGGAAGGTTTTAGACATCAATTATAAACGTTACCTGTATCGTAATTATCTCCATTATTTGAAAAATTTTCTCTCTTGAACTCATTTTTAATATGAGCTTCATCCCAATTTTTAGCCCAAAGATATAGCTTGGGATGGTCAGATTGTCTGCAATATTACATTATAAGATTAGTTTCAAATATCTGCAGTGTGAAGTGAATGGATTAAACTGTTTTTCATCAATCTTTTAAATTATTATGATAAATACTTGAAAAAAGTAATAACGACAGTATATTTCTTAAAACCATATATGCAAAGTATAGTATTAAAGTTTATTCAACGTTAACCTACAGGTTTATCATTAAAATCAGAAACTTTGTACATTTAAACCACCCTCAGTCTCTGTTACGTACCAATTTAAAACATAAATACGCAAAAAACTAATGGCAATTTTCTCTTAATTTATAACTAACATTCATAACTGAGTAAATTACATTATAAATAACAAATACGAATTAGATAAGCATACGTAAATTTATTAGCAAAGGTCTGAAAAGTAATTAATTATTAATAAGTTAACTTTTGACTCACTCAGCAATATTTAGTTTCGCTGATAAACTTCTTTCAACATTTTTTATTTCATGAATACTAGACGATATTTCAAAGCAGCGTTTTAACATAGACTCTCTTTCTTTAATAGTTTCTTCATTTCGAGCTCTATAACTAAATCTAAACAATGAAACAATATCTTATTAGTAATGATGTATAAAGAAAGAAAGGGAATAATAATTCATATTTTTTTAAAAATATTAATTACAAAAATCTAATATCAATCAAAATATTTACATATATTTTAAGACTTACGAGGGTAGTTTCCCTTGCGTGAGATAATGTTGAGCATATGAATATTTCTTCGAACTCCTAACTCGGAACGGATTTCTACAAATATTACATATATATCTTTCAGGAACATCGGATTCTGTCTCAATTCCACTGCATAGACCATGTTGCCAGCACATGCATATATCACACTTCATAACAAATGTTACATTAATTTTAATTATATTAAAAATAATAATAAAATAATAGATGGACCAAAGTTACTTGGATCATGAGGCCATCTTCTTCCCTAAACCCACATGTGCAGTTGATTATTTCTTCCGATCGTAACCTCTCAATCACAACACCCTCATCATTCACTTCAGTATTAGGAGAAATTTTTTCTTCTTCAGTATAGGAATCTGTGAGATTAAATTGAGATAACAAAAGAAATAATGATACATATGAACTATTGAAGTTGATGAGACTAAAAATCAATAAAAATAAAACAAAATGTATTTATATAAGGGAGAATAGTCACTTAAAGAACATGACAAGATCTGATAATAGAAGGAAATGTACTTTGAAAACGTAAAAGCTTTTATTACAGAACTCAACTGTGAAAACTAAAGCAAAAACTGATTATGATAGATAATTAAGCTATCACAATTTAAAACTTTTCTGATGAGCAAAAAAAATAAAACTGTATAAAACATTAATAAGACATATTCAACATGGACCTTCTGCACCTTTCCAATTAATGCATTTAACATTTTTGAAAGGAAAATTTTAAAGAAACCGTTATTGGATGATGGTGAATGGAGAAGCTAAAAAAATAGTGGATTATATGAGTTGGCTGTTGATAAATTCCCCGTGGCATAGCCTTCCTGCTTCATAACTGCCTATTTCTGTTTCAAGTCAGAAGAGCCCAACTGTACTGATAATTTGAAACAAGATCATTTATTATGCACACTATTCTTTGTTTATAATGACAGTTTTAACACACTAAGATACACCACTGTACCAAATATATTGATCCAATGATTAATTTAAACCACTCAAATTAGATAAGAACACAGACGATCTGCACACTATCATAGCTATTGATAGACCACTTGACAAAAGGCACTGTAATAAATACTTCTTAAAAAAAAAATATCAAACAATCGAACAAAAACAACAACAAAAAACAAACATTTTCACTTTGTAAATCTACCCCACACATTCTAAAACGCTTGGAAACAGGTTCTTTTCACAATGGTTTCAATGTTCCTTGAATTTGTAGGTTAGGCTTGTGGAAATAGAGGGATTTAGAAAGCCTAAACTATGCTGCGAAACAAGTCATGGTGGGTTACAAAATGACATGGTGGATGCCAAAGAATGCAATTTTCAAATCACATAAAGTAAGATATTAGTTAACTTTAAGAAAAATTACTATTTCAATAAAAACAATTTTGTCAAAATTAGTTTTTCTATAATACATTCTACCATAGGGACTGAAAATATATACATTCTAACTCAATACCAACTCATTCAAATCCCCAATGGTTATAGCAACCAAATGCAAAAGACATATATGCTTATAAAATTTAAACCTTATATCAATTTCATTATTTTTATCTGAGTCCACACAAAGGTTTTAATCTCACAAAGAGACAAAGAAAACATAGAGGCCTGATAAGCTGCAAAACAATTAAATAAGAAATTGTTCAAAATATAAAATATACTGTCCATTGACAGTTATCTTATTAAGCAAAGTTATTTTGTCTGGAAGGAAAAAAAAAAAGAAAGTTCCTTGATGTCCACGAATTTATTATGGAATATAAAACTCAGAAGACAAAAACAAATTTTGGAAAAAGAAGAACTCATAAAATTCTAAAGTAAACATAATATATATATGTAGTGAATAAAAATTACTTTACCGTTGCTATCTGTGGTTATCTGTAATTTGTCAACAGAGGATAACTTTTTCTTAGTAAATCTGAAAGTAGGTGACATTACTTGTTCAAAAGAATCTTCATCACCTCTCACACCTAAAAACAAAATTGCACAATAGGACATTTAAAAAAACAGCGAACTAAATTATTTGTATTTATAAACATTACATACATTCATTATCATCCCCATAATAAATATAATTTAAAATTAGGACAACAAATAATTCAAGTGCAGCCATTCCTATATGCAGAGAATATTGTGCTAGTAATCTACTCTCAAGAAAAACTGCAACATGCCATTTTATAAATAAAGAAGAGCTTGCTTGTAAAGGAATGATTATCAACTGCCACAAGAGCAAGGTTAAAACTGTAGCAAGAAATGAGGAGGTGTGAGAGACATAGTTATGACATGCAATGGAGAAGAACTGGAAAATGTAGACTGCTACACCTACCTTGGAACAATTTTTAACAAATCTGGGGAAATAGACCAAGAAGTTTCCAACAGAATAAAGAAAGCAAACAGTATATGCTACCAGATTTGTAACACAATTGTGAAAAACAGAGATGTAGGAAGGAATGTCAAACTCCACATCTACAAAGCAGTTATCTCCCTACACTATTATAAGGCAGCAAAAGGTGGGTTGCCCAAGACAAGCATGATTAGGGCTGCGAAAATGAAATTTCAACAAAGAATATTGGCTAATGACTAAGAAAATAACTCCTGATACCCTCACTAAAATTAAATATGGAATCCCAACAACTTCGATGGTATGGACACATCTGTAGAATGGGAGAAGAGTACCAAAGAAACGCATGGAAACGAGACCAACTGGCAGAAGACCACGAGGCAGGTCCAGAAGAACAAATCTAGGACATATCCAACAAGAGGGAAGATCCAAGGTCAGTCGAGGAATTGGCATGAGACAGAGATGTATGGTAAAAGTGGCTGGAGGATCTTCCACACTGAAAAGCACACAAGGAGGAAGAATAAAGAATAAATAAAAAATAAAATACAATGATAAAAAATATATCTGAACCTGAAATCTTTCCCCTCCGGAATCGACTAGGTTTAAATATTCTAGAACCATTCTTTTTCTGCTCAAAGCAATCTTCATCACTTTCATTATCATCTGAGTCTACATTCATTCTGAAAAAATAAAGAAAATTAATATACACTTTTTTTTTTTAAGTGAGAACTGTAGACTTGCTGCTTATATAGTTGTTCCCAATGAAGTACTAATATAAAAACTAATTTATTGTGTGAGTACGGAAAACCTGAAGGATATTAACCAGTCTCATGTTTCTGGTCGGCAAACCATAGGTTTCCATAGACAGATTAAATATATATCTTGAATCTGATCTTTAGGGGTAATTCGGTAGTAATTTAGGCACAAACACTCATATCAAACGATAGAGATCATAATATTTAAATCCAGAGATAATGGCTGAAAAGATCAGCCAGAAATATTATAACAATATTTTTCTGTTTACTTTATTATTGTTTTGATCTTTTTTTCAGTAATAACAACAATTTAAGTACAGTTTTGGTAATATTGCATTCAATATACCTAGGAATATACCTTTTTATATTCCCACACACCCATCCTCTCTCTTCCTTGATTATTTTAAATTAAATCTAATATCCAAATATGTAAATTAAGTATAAAATAATCATCATATTCTAAATTATAAAGTAATGGTTAATAAAAAAACAGTTTCAAAGATCATATTAACTTAGATATTGTTTTTTCATCAAGAAATTTACATTATGCAAACATTTTTAATGAGTTATTAAATATTATTATTAATATCTAACCATGAAAAAAATAAGAAAAAAATCGTGGTGTGTATCGCCAACCAGATAACACATAAATAAGCCCCTCAGAAAAACTCTGAAATTAACTCCTGTCTATAGGAATTAATCAAGATACCAAAAATTTAAATATTTAAAAAATGATAATAGAAGTAGAAAGAAATTACTTAGCAGGCGTATCAGGCTGCCGAATTGGTAAAATGGTTTTAATCGTTGTTCTCCTTTCTTCCACAGCATTTTGCCTCTTCAAAGAAGGAATATCCACTCTTTCTTTATTTCGGGAGTTCTGAAGAAGGATTAAATTAAAATAAAATAATTTTGGAAATCACTACAAACCTATTTTTCATATAATGAAAAAAATATTTACGAACCGGTAAGGAGGCAGAAGGCTGGTCTGTTGTATCAATACTGTTTGTCTCAGTACTGGAATTGCTAGGGCTACCAGAAAATGTCCTGCAAGAATTCGATAAATTAATAGGTCTTAAGTAATCATTGATAGTAACGATTTACTGAATTCCCTAAAGTTACAAAATTATAATTCAAATACATTAAAATTTTTTCAAAAATCAAAAGCGATCACATTAAAATTTCAATCCTTCACATCAACAATAATTGTACTTTGAAAGTACTTTTTAATTTATCTCGCTTACATAATCATTTCATCAATTTATAAAGCAATTCAACAAAAGATTTAGGCTAAAAGCATACCATCATAAAGAGATTGATCGCTCCACTAAGCTAATAAAACATGACTGGAAATTAAATTGAAGAGATCTCACTCAATATCATTCAAAGTCTTGTCCCCTAAGATAAATTAGTAATGAATAATTTCATTTTGAATTTTGAAATAACTAACACATGTTTCAGCACCTATAAATATATTATGTAATACATTTGCTATTGTGGACTGCATTGCAACTTTTGATAGCATATCTATTATTATAAAATTTATGTTTTAATCTTTACAAATTAATTTAGAAAAGTTCTCAAGAACTATAAGAATCTAGTTAATAAAGTAGAATTAAGAAATAAATTAATAATAGATTACCTTGGTAATATTCTTTTAATGGTCTGTTGAGGAATTTTCATTGAATCAGAGTTGACACTTTCAGATCTAGCACACGCAAGATCAACCATATTCGGAGCACTTCTAACCAGCGATGATAATTCAGAATGGTAATGTTTAATGTGCATCTGGAATAAAACATAATCTTAACATATTGGCTAAGTATAAAAACAACCAGAGAGAGGATGTGGTTTGGCTAATGTTATCACTATGATTGATAAGATAAACTTTTTGTATAATAAATTAATAATTTCATTTGTCATAGTGTTTACCTATACTGAAGCAATTCACTATTTTGGATTTAACAAATTATCTAACCACAGTAGCTACTACTATTAAAGAGGTGTCCACTCTCGCTTTATTTTTTTTGCGACTACTTATTTACCTTAAAGTTTATCATAAAGGAAATATGATTTCTATGTTCAGTGGTATCCAAGATTTGACAGCTAGTGTATTCAATTATTTAGTATAAGGTAAGTAAAACAATTTTTTTTTGTATTTATTGTTTATTTTTTTCCCGTACATCTATCTAATATCTCGCTGGTAATCGGGAATTCGCTAGCTTCTTTCAAATAAATAAATAAGTAATAAATTATGAGCACTAAATAATCTCTGTCATTTCCATAAAATGGAAAAAAAGACAATTTTTGTTTTATAGATTTAACTCAAACTGTTTCTGATTATTTTATTTAAGAATATGAAAAATATATATATTTTTTTAATTATGCCTCTCTTTATCGGCTTCTACCATCTCAGATCTTGCAGCCTAGTAGCGGTAGTAGAACAAGTATCTTATGTTCAACAAGCGCAAGCATACACCTAAATGGGCTGTGTCCATACGTGCTACGGAATTACATAGGTTGTAATTCATGAAATCATAAAAATCTGAATCATGAAAAAAAAAAAAAACATTAGAATCGGTTTAAATTGAAGCTACGTTATGAAAATTGGATTTTTCTCAACTCTTTAAAAATGACTGATGTCCGTCTTCGACATGAGGCCACTCATATGCTAATTTTTGAATTAAAATAACAGGATCTGAAATAATTAAAAAGTTTTTCAAATGCTTTCAGAAAAACTTTTACTGTATAATTTTTATTTTAAAAGGCTAGAGAGTTCCCCCTATCCGCCTAATAATGGAGCAATCTTTACAAATTATACAGCTGTTCATTTAATTGTACTACTTGTTGGTCAAATTGTATAACTGTGTGGCAAGGTGGCTGAGCGGACTAACGTGTATACACAGCACCGCTTATTGCCCAGCCTGATCAATGATATATTGCTAAAATAAGTACGAGTTCGCGTCCCGGTGCAGAGAGGAATTTTAACTCTGCCATTAATCTCCCATCCTTAACTCCTAGCCCAGAAAAACTCCCTAATAGCCTACAAGATGAGGAAGGGGAGGACAAAAAAAAATTATATAACAGTAATTTACATGTATTCTGTAGTTTGGATTGTATTACTTTTTTATTAAAATAAAATCACATTTAGGACAAATTTTTAAATTCTTTAAATATCTATCTTATAGATTGCATCTTATTGCTAATTTATATTATTATATAATTATAATTATTCTTATTGCCAATTTGTAACCATAGTAAGGGAGAAATAATTCTGGGAATAAGAAATGTGGTGTCTTCGTTGTGGTCTGTCCCACTTTTTATACATAAAATCAAATATGACATGGTCAGTAAAAATATTTTATATAAGAGAGAGATTACTCGATTTATATATATATACATATATATCAAAACTGCTTCATTTTACATTGATATAATGAATTTAATCAAAATCGTTCGAGCAGTTTTCGATAAAACAGTAAAAAAGTGTTTAGTCCATGATATAAATTGTCATTTCCGGTTAGCTGATTTTGATGAAAAAGTTGCTGTAACATCCCAAGCATATAAAAACCTTAAATATGTAATTTCACTTTCGTACGACTTTTTGTTTTCAAGCTAGACTATTAAACACAAACACACACACAGACCATTTTGCGGGACTCAGTTATTTGGACTCAGGGGACCCCAAAACGTGTATTTCCATTGAAAACTAAGATTCGAAAATTTTCATGGTCGTAATACTTTCCTAAACTATATATTTCATATATAGGTAAGTGAAAATAAAAATAGAAAAAAAAAATTGTAATATATATCCTAAAATACATGATGGGAATTAATCTATTTAGACCAACTAAACATCAGAAAAAAGTGTGCTATAAATTAAAAAAAAAAAAAAAATATTACAATCAAAATATGAAAATTTACCTGGAGAAGGTTTTCTTTTCGGAACTTTTTATTACAACCTTCTTTGAGACACTTCCAAACTTCTCCATCAGGTCCTGTAATGAACACAACAAAGTATTTGAGTTGTGACATATATACAAAATTAATCCTATAAATTAATTTTTTATTACTGCCTTGGTATCTTAAATTACAATATTTAATTACAACTTACAATAAAAGCCTTTTTAAAGACTAAAACTTATTTGAAACTTTAAATCTATTTTTTACTACTGACTTTGTTTTTCACCCAAGAGAGACTTCATCATTTTTAGAAAGGTTATTAACAATTTGTGGGTGAAGAGCAACTAAAACTTAGATTTTTCAATTAAAAGCAAATTGTTTTCATCATAAATAAGGAGTATTACATAAGAATGGACTTTTATTTTATTATTATAATTTTTTTCATGTTGATAAAGCTGCCTAATGTTTATTATTCAAATCTTATAATACGAACTAAAACAAAAAGGTTTTAAATTTGTCTTTAATTTTCATTGTATTGTTTTGAAATGCATAAAAAATGTGATTTAATATGGGATGATAGCAATGATGATTATACTGGTTCAATGTCCAAAAACAATTTGTTTTAACGAAATTTTCAAGCTTAGGTGCAATTGATTATTCAAAGCTCTACTATAAAAAAACTTCAACCCTTGAGAATAAATACAGTTTAAATAACTTTTCATCAAGCCATTATATTTGCTTGATTTAATTCACATACTTAAGCAACATATTCAATGAAAATTCTAACAAAAAAAAAATTGTTGATAGCAATAAATTGTACTGTATGTTTCAACATTTTAAATACCTGGTGTTATGGATGGAGAAGAATCATGTCTATATTTTGGTAAAAGTGTGCGTACCCTTCCAACCGATCTTATCGGTGCTGTATTACATTTACCTCTTCCTCCTCTTTTACCACGACTATTCCTACGATGAAACCTGAAAAAGAATCATTCAGGTATAAAGAAACTTAGATTTCATAAAGTACTACTATGGATATTTACAAGATAATTTAATTCTGAAACTAATTTGTCAAAATGAATTTGCTGCCCATAATATACAATATATTATATTACTATTAAGATTTTCATTGTCATAGAATTAAGCAAAAATACAAAAATTGAATCAGAGTTAATAAATTTCAGAATAACTTATACAAATATTTTAATTCAAGATTTTTTTATCAATCTTAAGGCTCAGTGTATTCATACAAGATTAAAATAAAAGCCACCTGTTGAGGCCACACAGTTCAGTTTATAAAATATTATCCATAACTTTATACAAAAAAAATAATCACCAACAATTTCAAATTTGATTAACATTAAAAATTTATTACAAGTAAATAAGAAAAAATAATAACTACTACTCTTACATTTAAGTATTTAATAAAAATAAATTATCAAACATGAACAGAAAAAACACAGTGAAGTAAAAACAAAACAATGCAGGGATCAGTCATCTCTATGGCAACATAATTTTAATTCAAACAGCTGATAAAAACAATCAGTAATGAATCATTACTTAAGATGAACTAGTTAAATTGGAATACCTCATGTTTTCGGCAAATGGTACCTACATTAAGTGCTGTTTTGAATTTACTAGTACAGTTTAGGTAGATGAACTCTTTTGTAGTTTAAGGCATCTTACACCATATCTTACAAAACTTCAAAAATATTAATTGTCAAAACATTACCTATGTTAGGTAATAAATAATTTAATGAATTTTAAAATTGTAGTTTATTCTTGTTCTAATTAACACAATAAGTTCCTAATTCGCACAGACAAGAATTTAAATTTAAAATTCCTATAATATTATTAATTTAGTTTCAATTATGTACCATTTTAATGGTGAAACCAATGATTTAATTTGAATTTGCCTAAGAAAAAATTAAATGAAAAATGGAAAAAATTAAAAAGAAGAAAGTTTTATAGTAAATTACAAAGGATACATCTAATAATTTTACTGCAAACAAATTCCATAAGTAAACTAGATACCTTCATGCAAATTAAATTATTTAAAGTATCAAAACCAAAGGCATGTACATAATACAAACCATATAATGAATTTTATAAATATTATTAACAAATTTTTAGTGTGCCAAGAATAATTCTAACCAACAGCCAACAAAAAACAACAATAATTTTCTGATATTACAAAAGAATTCTCTAGAAACACTATGTTATTAATATCAGATTAAAAGTGAGTCGTCTTGTGGTCACATTCTAAGTTTTCCAAATCATCCAAAATTGACTATTAAATAGCTCTTAAAGATCAGTTATTTCTTGTCACTAATTTACTCAGAAGCTCCTAGCCTCTTCTATTATTTCCCCTACGCTAATAATGATTGTCGTTCTCCAACTTTTTGTTTTGAATTTTAAAAAATTAAATTAATTTAATTTTCTAACTCGTTCCTTTACACTCTACTTCCTGAACATAACACTAAAATTTCTCAATAGGTTAATATGTTCAAGAAAATGAGAATAATTGTAAAGAATACACATAGAAAATGTTTCAAAATAATAAATAAGGATTATTGAAAGCTTTGCATTGATTACTTTCATGAATTAATATTTCTAGAAATAAATTCATATCGAGTAGTGATAATGCAGAGAGGGATAGTAAGAATTATTGATAAATAAATTAATATGCCATTAACCCCTTAAAGTCATAAGGAGGTAGTTATTTGAATTTTTAACTTTAAGATTTCCCTCTGAGGCGTCTGAAAAGAAGATGGCCTCGAGATCTCCTTTTGTAAATACATTTTTAGAGTGCTACCAGTGGGTAGTTTCTCATCAAGTGAATTCATGTTATTATATTCTTTTGTTCACATTTACTGAATGTATTTTTATTTGTAATACAGTTGTAAATATCATCAATAAAAAATAATTTTTTTTTTAAGATTTAATGTAAGGACATGATCAAGAGTGTGTATTGTGTAAGACTGATTTCCTGATTATAGAACCCATTTCTGGACTACGTCATAATTTGGATCCAAGAAACGCATGGCAAATGAGCATTTGAATGAGATTTGTCGGAAAAAGAAGCCAGTAAGTGCTACAATAACCTATTATCAGTGAAAAGTGTTCTAAACAAAATCAATTTTTTAAATTTCTATATTTTATAACCTAACACAAAATAAAAAAAATAATGAATTTTTTTTTCACTAAAAGTCTTAATTTCATGGTTTTGGGGTCTACACCTTTTCCCTTCGACACGGGGAAACATGATTGAATAAGAATTCAAAGTTAAAATTATGACTAAAAGTTGCTTACCATACTTTGGGAGGTCCAGCTAGAGGTAAATCTTTTTGTTGTACAGAAAGATCGGGTAAAAGACTGAATTTTGCCAGGAAGTCAAGAGAAGAAGGTGGTTCTTCTTCAACTACCTCAGAGAAATATCTCTTCAACTCTTCAAGATGTGTTAACTTATAACCATCAGGGCTAAAAAGTAACTAATAAATTAATTTTGAAATTTATGAAATAATCATTAAAAATGAGTTACTTATAGTAAGTTAAAATTAAAACCGTACATTAACTATACTAATCAAACGTTAATTGTTTACTAAATAAATAAAAAAAACTTAAGTCAAAATTTGTTTTGTTTACCTAACCAAAAATATTTCCCATTTATTTTCTGCCTTCAATACTGCATGTTTATACCATCCCTTCGGTAAATTTTTATCAGGAACCAAAGTAGACCTCATCACAGAACCTTAAAAATAGTTTTATTGATGTAAATTAATAACTTAAAAATAAATGGTGCGCTCAACTTTGAACCAAAATAATAATATATGTGTAACTCAACTTACCATCTTCTTTAGTAATTGTCAAGGGAGCAGAGTCAGGTGGTAAATCGACATTCCAACGATCATCAGATATCTCTACTGGCTCAGAAGAGTCAACAGCATTCATATCATTCTAAAAAAAAACAATTAAATATAGAAAATAATCAGCTTGAAAAACAATCCTACAACTTATCAAAAACAAAATTACCTTAACAACAGAAGATTGAGGAGAACTACTTAAATTCGAAACAGAAGAAGCCAACGATTCATTTTTAGCGCGTTCAGAGGTATGAAACAATTTTAATTTATAGCTGTCACTCCTTCTAGTACTAAACAAAGCTTTCCTACGCCTTCTGATTTTTCTACCTGAATGTAATGACTGTCCAGGTGGCTTTGTAAGCTCACCAATTTCTTTACTGTCAGAGGTCTTGTTAAAATAACTCAATTTATTCTTGATTGTTATACCTTCAACAGGCTTGAAACCTTTTTTTCGTGTCATTTTAACATCCCTTGCAAAAACATAATCATCAAACGTCTTTCTTTTCCTCTGACGTCTAGCTTCTTTTGAATTAGCATCCATATCAACAAAAATATCAGCTTCTGATGGGTTAGTCTTTTGATACTATAACAAAAAAAAAAATTATAAATTTTCAAAAATACACTTCAGTTAATTAGAATATATGATTTCTTTAAGTCATGAATTTAACAAAATATTAGATAAGTTATATTTATATTACTATTTCTAATTTATTTAAGCTAATTATTTAAAATTGCTAACAAATTATTACACAATGGTTTCTTTCAAGAAATTTACATCTGCTTGATATTATTCCATATTAATAATTGTGGGTCGATGGTTGACTGTCGTGAATAATGAAGAAAAGGGCGGTTGGGGGGATCAGTCCGAAATAAAAAGGTTAAAATAAATAATAATATTTATTTTAACATTTGCAACGTTTCAACCTGAAGTTCCGGCCTTCTTCAGGGCTGTTTGAAGAGATTGCTGGAATAGAGTGAAAGAAAAATAGACTGGAATAGAAACACTCTATTCCAGTAATCGCTTCGAACATCCTGAAAAAGGCCTGAACTTCAGGTCGAAACTTCGGTAAATGTTAAAATAAATATTATTATTTATTTTTGCCTTTTTATTTCTGACTGATCACCCTAATCATCCTTTTCTTCATTATTCCATATTAATATTATATTGCGTGAGATTCAGTTTAGTTTACATTATATTTTTTATTCAATAGTTTCCATATGTGAGGTAACAAAACTTAAAATATGAAAATACACTTGTATTAACTCAAGCGCCCTTAAAATTATTGTTATTGTTGAATAAAAATAAAACTCTTAAAAATATTATTGAACTAGTTCATATTAATAATAATGTCAATATAATATAAACTCACCAATTACATTATGGTAAATTGAAGGTAATAAAATGTTCTTAAAATTGTCCTAAGAAAATATCACAAAATTTGTTTTTCTACAATATTAAACTGAAGATATTAACATCAAGAAGAATATTCATAATAACAAAAACTCCAGCTTTGCTTTAAATCAATTATTAACAAATCATAACAAAATAAAATAAGGAGTGATTATCAATAGCTCGCTTACCTTTGCAGCTTCCTCTTCAGTTGTCTTGTATAGATGATCTTCACTTATTGTTTTTTCAAAACCATCATAAAATAGAACATCATATCTGCCTGAAGAAAAAATAACTTCTTACTCTATGATTGTGAAATAATTTATAAATTTAAGTGATGAAAAATTACCATCGCCAACAACAGTCTTGATAACAGCTGGAAATTTTTGCATTCGATGATCGGACCATTTAGCTAGCACTTTTTCGCCAATTACAAACTTAGTTGTACCATAAGATTTCATATTGGCATAGGATGAGTCAGTCCGATGTTTTCTCCAATTTCTTTGTCTGAATCTTTTTTCTTCATCTGCTTGATAAGACTCAGTTTCTACATCTTCCTCTGTTTGCTTTATAGGCAATATTTCGGGTATATCACTGGTTTCTTTATCAGTTAACTCTTCATTGCTAAAATGGTGATTCATTGTTTTGAAAATAAATACTATAAACACACAAATTAAAAAATATGAATGTAGATTTTAAATGAAAATCTTGAATATCAGCATAAATGCTTTATACAATAAAAAGTAAATAAAGTCTGAAATTCATAAATATAATTAAAAACAAAAAAAATAAAGAAAAAAACAAATATTATTATACATCTGTATCAACAATGAAATAACCATAAAATCATTCAAAATTGATATAAAAGTACTTCACAAGAAAGTTTTCACAAATATTTTGCTGGATGCTTTCACATGAGTACTTATGAATGAACACTGAAGATGATCTTCGTGAAAAATTAAGGGATTCAATATTTCAATGTAAGATGAAGTAAATATAATAATCTTTCAATTAATACAATAATAAAAAACTAAAAGTTAGAAAATGTGTGCTACGAATAAAGGACAAAAATTACAATAGAAGCCGAACATTCAGCTTTAATTATTATATTTTATATCTTAATTAGTTAAATGTCTTAGGCCAATTATATTTTCAGAGTTTAATAATTGTGTATTGTTTGAAAAATACAACAACAATAAGCATAATATATAAGTCAATAAAATTTATAAAAATACAATACTAGTTCAACAAAAAAATGTGATTTTTTTTTATTTACTCATTATAACTACCACAATTACAGTGCAAGGTACTGCATATTAGTATCTAGATCATGATAATTATTATGTCAGAGTTAAAACCTTAAATATAATTCATTCAATACTAATAAAATAGAATTTTTTTTCTGTCAATTTATTTATAAATTTAACATTACAAAATAATGTTATTTGCGAGGTACATTATTTTATTATTTAAAACTAACTCAAATTTCAAAAGTGACCATTTAAATCCATCAGTGATCGGAATCATGAAAATATTTAGGATGTTTATTGATATTAATGTTGACAAATTCACATCAAATTTGTTATTACTACCAAAAATATATTACAAATAAATACCTTGAAAACGAGGGTTCGGTCCGGGATATTCTTTGGCTATTCATGGAAACCCACTCATCACACTTACTCTTATCTTCATAGTGAACCAACACCTCATTATCTTCACAGTCTACCTCAACTATGCTCACAGATTTCCTTGCATAACATTTACGAAATTATTATTTTAATGTAAAAAATACAATCTCACATGATAAGTATTCACGAAAATCAATTACAACTATATTAAAAAAAATTCACCTACCATTCAGATGTGTGGAAATCTTTGACAAAAAGCATATCCCCCTCTACAAATGTATTATCTGAAACAGAAGCCTGAACAGATTCAGTTTGTTCACTGCTGCCAGGTTCTTCCTCAACAGACTTTGACGTAGTTGGAATAGAGTGTTGAACTCTAGGGGCGAATTCATCAACCAGAGCACTTGCATCACAATCTAAGTTTTCTTCCCAATTAATTTCATTGTACAAATTATTACTTTCACTATTTTCTGAAGTTGTAGTATTGTCATCATTTTGAGATTCTTCAATTAACTGATTCACTTTCCTTTGCTTCCTTGCATTACCAAACCTTCTAATTTTTCTTCTAGACATCCTATTAGCTTTAAGTACTCGTGATAATACTCTCTTTCTTTTAGACTTAAGTGGAAATTTGCTATAATCATTTGAAGGGCCTTCTACCATTTCTGAAACAGTATGAAAGTTAACTTTATGCATTTCACCATTCACCGACATGGCACACTTGTCATAATTTGGCTTGCCAACAAAATGATTTGAAAGTTTAAACAATTTTATGCTAAAATCTTTAAGTTTCATTCTTTTTTTAATTTCATCTTCATTTAATGTGAGATTAATACCTCCTTCCTGCATTCTGCTGCAAACTAAAATGCAGATCACCGCCTAAAGAACTATATAGACAGTAAGTTATAATTGATAGTTCAAATGATGAAATCTGCAAAGAAAAGAAATGTTTTAATATTTATTTGGGGTACATTATAAACCATATCACAGGAAAACATAAACACTAAATTAATAAAAAAAAATTACAAACGTTTAATTAATTTTTTTTATTTTCACTTATAATGCATTATTTCAACTATAAAGCTTTCTTTTTTTTATTTCCTGGATAGATCATAATGGGTACTAACCTTAACTATTCATTACTAGCCTCAATAAAAAACATGAATGATGTAACAATGGCTGCCCAACATTGACTAATGTATTAGGGTGGAATAATAAGATGGATAATACGTAAAAACAATGAATATAAAGTTAAAAGTACTTATCACCAAAACAAGATATATGCACAGGATCCACTATCTATAACTGTTCATAATTACCGTCCTTTAATTTTTCACAGAGCTATAACCAACACCATCAGTTATTATAAGTGAATAAGAATTTTCAACCAAAATACAATATGTTTCAAGTTACATTGAGATGTAAAACTTATGAAACGATTTCACACTTTAAAAACACTAAATATGTATATAAATTATAAGCAAAACGTTTAGAACGTTTGAAAAGGCAACATAAACAACAGATACTTTCAGAATGCCAACTTATGAAATAAAATAATTAAACTCCAACTTATATAAAGAATAATTGCGAGAACCCCCCAAAAAATAGTAAAAATTAAGTTAACTTTGTTTTTTTAAATTATAAACAAACTGGTTGTTTGTGATCATCGATTGGCCCTTTAGAGAGAGGTCATAAAATATCATCTATATAATATAAACAACATTTTCATTCAATTGCAGCAATATTTTAACCCTTATTTATTTCTAAACAATAAATGTAAGTAAATATGGCAATTATTTTAGTAATGAGAAAACTATTTATTGCAATATGCAATAAAGAAAAAAAAAAAAAAAGCTGATATTTAGAACTTTCTTAATTTATAGAACAAAAAATGGTCATTTCATCATTCAAATAACGATGATCCAAATGAATAATAAGTTTGTACTTTGACTTGAATTTTGGACTAGTAGTATTTATGGTAAATGAATAGTTGAATAATAAATTTCTTAGAGATCCAACTTTATTTTTTCCTTATAATTATACCTCATGACCCATATTAAGCTTCGGATCAATAAAAATGTCACGAGTCAACTGAGCATTGTGTACAATTCCTGACAATGCAGTACAGGTCTTAGGTGTTTATCCTCCCACAAAATTTAATCAAGCATGCAAACAGGAAAAAAAGACTCGGAAGAAATAAGGAAAAACCTTCTAGTGTGGAGGAACAATTCAATACATACATGACAATGTTCAGGTAAAACACAATTTAAGAATGCAACAAGCGATGGATTACTAAAATCAAAAGGATTGACCTAAGAAATTAGTTCTCCAAGGTCCAGCTTAACTAACTGCCAGAAGAATCTGCTAGAAGTGCAACCTGACTTTCTTCCTTCTACTCCTTACCTAGCCATTTCTGACCGTATGAGGAGGAGAGGGTTTACTAACCGGCGCTAGATTCGAAGATGCTAAGGGTATAACGCTATCTTAACCATCATGGTCCCAGGATCCTTTTATTATTATTGCATTATCCCCTACCTACCATTTCAGGCATACGTGGGGGAGGGGTTGTTCTAGAGGTACAACCAAACCTATTCTAATTGTGGGAAGGCCAAGTTTCATTTCGTGGGTCCGCCACGAAATAAAAGTCAACTGTTCCCAGGCCGGATTGGAACCGGCGTCGCTAGACCCGAGAGTGCTACAACGGGTATCGCTCCAACACTCTGCCATCTCCACCTCACAATCCCAGGATCCGACCTGACTATTCGCTCTTTCAATTCCTCACGGAGCATCATCTCTTTTTTACTTAATTGTATAGCTTTGGAAAGGATATCGACGCCCTTTACACAAATTGCTGTACTTGTTCACGACCTGTACTGCGTTTAAAGCACTGCGGGCCAAGCTAAAGAGAAGTAATAGCCTATACTTTAGGGATATTTCACTCGAAAAAAATATTTTATTTTTATGAATTCTTGAAGGAAGTTAGTCGACTGTTCTACATATCACCCATACTTTATTTTTAATTAATATATATATATATATATATATATATATATATATATATAATATATATATATATACATATATTAATTATATATATTTTATAATATCCACACAGTGTCGAAAAACAAGTTTGGAGAAAATAAATATAGTCTAAATGAATATTGTGAATAAGTCTACAATGATTGTATTCTATTTTATATACAGTTTAAAAGTCTGAAAGATGTATATTAAAATGTGTTTGTAATCTCTCAGCTTATGAAGGCTGCATGGTAGATGAACAGAACATCAGTAGGTTGAGTTTTCAAACGTTTTGACATTTTTCTAGCTACCCTTCAACTTACTTTCTGAAATATGTTCATCAACAGATTTGTTCATATAGCGACGTTAATATAGTTAATATAGACAAATAGATGGACGAAAGAGTAGCTTTTTATTTTATCTTTGCCTATCAGCTCTTTGAGTTTTGAATGATTTAATGTTAACGACCAATAAGTTTGGATTCATTGAACGATCTAGAGATAACATACTACAATTAGGAAATCTCAGAAAGTTTTATTAGCATCGAAAAAACATTTGACAGCCATCACACGATTTGCATGTGAATTTGGTCCAGAAGAAATTATTAGATTAGATTTAGAACCACGGTTTTCATTATCAGAGGAAGATCGTTTCGGATTAGACAGAGTTAATTCCGAGCCTATGACACACAAAGAAATGATAGCGATGAAGGGCGGACTTTTCAGAGCATTTAGAGCTTAAGTTCAATCACGTGGGAGTGTTATTGAATAATAACAATTAAAAATGATTAATTGTTGATGTTTCTGTTTGATTTTAATACACGGCACAATTACATTAAATTCGGAAATACAGCTTAATTATGTAACTGATGTGTTCATACTTCATAACCAGGCGGAGTTGAACATAGCTTTTAAGTCAAGAAAAACTTTATGTCATTTAAATGCTATTATTTCTGTACCACACCTTTTCCAGAGAATTCCTGCAGACAAAGATGTGGCCCTCGGTGTGACTTCTAGGATGAAAGCCAGTATGTTTATCTTCTCTCTACAACACATCTCAACCTTCTTTCAAGGATCGAAGCGTACATTTTATAAGCTACAAATAGTAAGATAATCAGGCTGTTGACTTCACACAAACTTAAAGTGCGTCTCTTATATCAGAGTGAATGCCATTATCTTTTTCCAATTTAAATTGTAACTATTGTGATCAGTGATTTTTTAAACATTAGCTTCCGAAATCTAAGTAGGTTAAATTTTCAAATCAATGATATTCAAATTGAAATGTTTGATAAAATATTTAACTAAAAACGTTTAACGATTTTCAATAAGGCTAGTTGTACAAATAAATTAGTTATTTATTTCGAGAGCAAACTCTCAGGGCAAGTTTCTAAACTCAGCACTGAGTTTAGAAATTTGTCCTAATTATTCAAGTCGTTGCTCTTTGGAATATATACTGAATAGGAAGGTTATTTTTAAATACAAGATTTTATTTATTTATTTCCATGTTTGGGTTAAGAAATAGTTTAATCTCGAAATATATTTTTAAATATAGTTCTAGTCCAATAAAAAGAATAGTTTGAATAATATTATCATTCATCCATGGTTTCTGATAAAATTTATCACAGAAATAATTACATGCAAAATGTACACACTTCTTTCGGGCTTTTACAAGTACATGGTTCAAAAGAATGAGTATTGTGTTTTAATACTTGGCCTGGACAATGCTGGTAAAACAGTATGTACTTATTTAAGTTTGCTATTATTACTTTTTTTTATTTGTGAGGTATATTTACTTCAGATAAACAAATATTTCAGACTTACTTAGAAGCAGCAAAAACTAAATTCACTAAAAACTATAAGGGAATGAACCCTAATAAAATAACAACAACTGTGGGATTGAACATTGGTAAGATTGATGTTTCTGGAATTCGACTTAATTTTTGGGATCTTGGAGGCCAAGAGGAATTACAATCCCTTTGGGATAAGGTACTTTGGGTTATTTTATTGTTCTGAACATAAATGACCTATTGTTATTTAAACATATTTATTGTTAATTTATTAATTGTTATTAAACATATTTTTATAATATTTCGATGATTTGTTGACAGGTTTGTCTTTTTAATTTAATTCAGCCCCAATTTGGTCTTTTTATTAAAAAAAAAATTAGAGAACTCTCTATTCATTTTTTACTTATATAGGCAACATTATCTTTTTTGTTAAAGTTTACATTGAGAGGGATTTCTATTTATATTGGTACACTGAAATTAATCACAATTTGTTTGTACTACTCTCAAGATGCTGCTAAATGTATCATTAAGCAAACACTTAATTTCATTAGTAGTTTTCATTATAAATTAGTAGGGAGTGGTTGCGGTCAAAGAAATACTATATTATGTAATCGTATATTTTATTGTGTAATAAGTATCTGAAGCCTTCAAACTTTGAACAGGCTTAGACAGAGAGATGGACTATCACCAATGTTGTTCAACTTAGTCCTGGAGAAGGTAATAAGAGCAACATCACAGAAAAATGGAGATCCATGTCGGAATGAATCACAAAATCCTTTGATATGCTGATGATATAGCTGTACTTGGATGGCTGGTAATTAAGAAGGCATTGAGAAACTCACTACAATGCTGACAAGTAAATTGGCCTGTCGGACTACAAGTAAATTAAGACTTAAATAAAATATATGATATTAAGCCAAAAAATCCACCCCAATAATAGAATCTGCTTAGAAGGAAAATCACTCCCGAGAGTAGACAAATTCAAATACCTCTGTTCCACAATAACCTCAATGAATGACCAACGGGCGGAAATAGACCAGCGTATAATTAACACAAACAGAGCTCTCAAAAGTAATAAAATCCTGAAAAATCTCTAACTAAGGGTGTAAAATGTTATGATAAAGCCAGTTTTAATATATGGCTGTGAGACCTGTACACTTACCAATATCTAACCACAATATCTCTGTACCCATTGATTTTATCAAAAAAATGTTTAAGATCATTTTTATAGAGATTTTATAGTACTTTAATATTATACTGAACAATCTTTTGCGAAAAACCTCACAGTTTTTGAGATATTCTCAAAAAACTAAACAAATGTCACAAAATGCAGTAATGGAACTGGAGATAGCCACAGATGTTGGTTGGTGTGATAATGAACAAGTAATGAAAGTGTAACACCAAAAAAATATTTAAATAGATATGACAATTATTGAATTTTTGACAACTGATGCCTCACCACAAAAGGAAATAAACATAAGGAATACTGTGAGGATGGGAAAATTGTCCCGAAACATCAGATATAATAGATGTAATTAAAAGGACTGAAGAAAAATGGAAGTATATTTACCTTAACTTATAACTTTATAACTTAAGGGTATAACTTTCTTTTATTTAAATCATGTTTACCTCTGCAAACTTTCAACTGATCTTTTATCTGAACTGAGACGTTCAGTAAAACCTTTACTCTTGTAGAGGTATATGAATGACCATGTATTTGTAAGATGGAAAATGTGTAAACAAATAAAAATATGAGTTAAAGTAAAATAATCTTTTGTATTCATAAAAATTAGAATAATACATATACAAGTAAAAAGGCACTGGTAATATATAATGATGAAAAACGTATTTAAAAACTAAAAAAAAGAAGAAAAGAAATAACATAAAAGGCTTACTTTAACAGGTTTGAATTAAACAAAATTTTAAATGTACATAAAAAAACAAAACAATTTTCTTCAAATGTTCAGTAAAAAAAAGAAAAAAAAAAAAGTAAATGCATATAAAATAAAAATGTGCTAACACCAAAAAATGAAATATAGGAAAATGTTAATGACAGCATCGTGATTTTAAGTTTTGGAATTAACTCACAAATAAGCAACTATTAATTCAAATGAAGAGAAGAATAGTTGGGGTGCTCAGTCAAAAAGGAAGGCAAAAAATAAATTATAATATTTATTTTTTACATATGCCGACGTTTCGACCTGAAGTTCAGGCCTTCATCAGGGCTTTCTCCTTAAGTGTCAAGGGGAGAATGTTATTATTAATTCAAATAACTGATGGCTGTAGAGAATGATTCCTGTGAGAAATAATTTGTTGAAATCAAGCTTGGTCAGTGATGGGTCTTGTGCAGGTATTAGTGTAGATTAGTTAAATTAATAGCTAGTTTTTTTTACTTCTGCTGAAAAGTGTTAATTAAACCTCCAACAGGTCCTTTTCTGTTGAGTACTGGCCCTTACTGGACAGTTCAGTCATTTATGTCTACTTTCTTGGAATTTCATTTATACTGTGACCATGAGATTTTGTGCCCAGTCAGTGGAGTAACACTTGTACAGTAGTACCAACTGAGGCTTTAAAATTTTTAAATTTGAACAGCTCTTTTTTGTTGTTTATTTGATTGCTGACACAAGATTATTCTGGAAAATTTTGGCTGCTGAAGCAACCACACCATGCAATTATGATAAAAAATCAAGTTTCAATAGCTATGTGAGGCCATAGAGGAATTCAGAATCTCTTCAAAGTTAGTCCGACTGGTTAAAATGACAATGAAAGATTTAAAAGTTCATGTTCAGTCAGATTGGATTTTAGATCTTTCTTAAAATAAATGACTGAGATAAATTTATTCCTTAGGCTGTCTTGGTTTCAATTTAGCCTTGGAAAAAATAGTTAAAATATTGAGGCATATAGCAACTGGCAGAATGTTTTGCACGAATTTTCAGACTTGCCAAGAATGGAGAGCTCCGTGAAACTTTTAATGAAGCTGACAATGTCATTAAATTAGGAAGATACATCTCACAACTCTATGTAAGATTAGTTGGGTACTACTTGTGAAAACAGGTACTAAAGTACTCAACAGGTAAGATTGACAGCAGGTACCAAAAACATCTCATTGTGATTAAATTCACATCCAAATTTCATGCCTAAATAACTTCTTTAATATTGGCTATTCCTAACATTTCATTATTTATATATTTCAATTTAGTTAATTAAAACCTTTATAGTTAAATGCAAATTATTATTCATGACGAAATAACTATACTTTTGATTTTTTCTAGTATTATGCAGAATCTCATGCTGTAATATACATTGTTGACTCCAATGACAGGGAAAGAATTGATGAATCAAAAGAAACATTTGGTAAGTTTTCACCTCATATTTTGGGTAGTGACAGTTATAAAAAGATAATAAATTAAATCTCCTTGACCATCCATGAAGAGCCTCCTGGACTTGATTTTCAACCTAAGTTCTTGAGAGGCAGCGTTTCATCCTTGAGCATTTATCAATTGATGTAAATAAGTGAATTTTTTTTTTTATTTGTTAAAATTAGAGATCGACCAATACACCGATATTAATATCGGCTTATTGGCCTTCTGGCCGATTATCGGTATTGGCAGATATCAAAGGCCGATATATTAGCCATCCTTCATTTATTTACTTTTTTATTTTATTTTATTATTTATATTTTTCTTGCTATCTGAACTTTTTATTTTGACACATTTATTAGCAATAAAAATAATATTTCAAATGAAATTCTTTAAATCTTGACAAATTTATGTTTATGTTGATTCCTTGGTGACTGATTGACACATTTATTAGGAGTATAAATAATATTTCTTGTGAAACTCTATGAATCAAAATAAAGTAAGCTCGTAAGGCAAATATTTTGGTCCGATGGGAGGACAAAAATTTTTTTAAGATGAGCACAAGAAGAAAAGATGGTTAAATCTACCAAAAAAAATCAACCAATCTTGATAAAATAAGGTTATTAGGCCGATATATTCGTCTTTGGAATATATCTGCTCAAATTAGAGGGGAAAAGAGAACCAAAAAAACAAAAATTATCAGTCTATCCATTTCTATAAAATAAGGTAACAAGGGCGATATATCGATCTTTGCTCAGATTTATGTTTATGTTGATCCCTTGATTGACATATTTATTAGTAATAAAACTAATATTCCAAGTATAAATCTTGATAAAATAAAGAATAATCTTATTTTCATGTGTTTGAAAACTGTTGTTTCTATTGTGTATTTACTTTTATTTTGATTTTTAGATAAGATGATAGCTAGTGAAAATTTAATTGGTGTTCCTCTATTAGTGTTGGCAAATAAACAAGATATAGTTGATTGTATGGGTGTAAGGGAAGTCAAGCCCATATTTAAGAAAAATGCTCATATGATCGGCCGAAGGGATTGTATGGTCATGCCTGTATCAGCCCTTAATGGGTAAGTATCAGAAATAATATATTAGGTTTTTGTCTAGCACTCAGATCCTTATGATATAATACACATCATACTTACCGAATCCTATGTATCTTTTTATTCTCAACGATCAAACTACTCTGACAGGAACCAGAATTCTGGTTGCTCAAGGTATGAAAAAATATGTATAAATAAATAATAATAAATAAACCATTTTATTTATTTATTAAACTAATCAAGTAGTTGGTAATATTTTTTTCTTATTTTATACACATACGCAAAAAAAGAATCAATTGGCATATAATAAACCTTAAAACCAGGGCTTAAAACGAATAAAAAACTTTCATTTTTAAAGAGCTTCGATATCATTGGAATTTTTTTGTCAATAGTTTTTCAGTTATTTTGGTACTAAAACTTTCTTCCATGCAACGTTTCAAGTAAAGGTTTTACAGAATTTTTATTTTTAAAAAAACATTTATTTAAAAGTTCTATTGATTTTGCTAAAAGTCGATCTAAAATACATTGATTGGTTAAAAAAATCTGGGAGAATGAGAAGTTGCCTGAAGAATGGAAAGAATCTATTCTTATTCTGATTAACAAAAAGGGCTCAAGGACGGTTTGTAATAATATAACAATTGAGTAATAACAACTATAACTGTAATAATAACTATCGAGGAATTTCACTCCTTCTGGTATGTTATAAAATATTCACAGTAATCTTAACTAGTCGAATCACGGAAATTATTGGAGACTACCCATGCGAATTTAGACGGAACCGTTGGACTCTTGATCAAATATTTGCTTTATGGGAAGTATTGGAGAAAAAATTGAAGTACAACAGTGTTGTTCACTAGCTTTATATCAATTTAAAAAATGCTTATAATTCCGTTGATTGCCAGATGCTGTATGATATTCTAATCGAGCAGAAGATCCCAAAAAAATTAGTGAAACTAGTTAGGATATTTATGTCTGAAAAATTCGAGATTCATTTGGGCTTGAAACAAGGTAATTCCCTTTCACCGTTCCTATTTAATTTGGCATTAAAACATGTCATTAGAGAGGTGTTACATATCGAAAAAGGTATGAATCTGGGTGAAACAATATCTGTACTTGGGTATGCTGATGATTTGCTACTGTTAAGCGAAGACACGGAAACAGTAAAATTAAATATAACAACGTTGATGAAAGTCTGTAATGAACTGGGGCTCGTAATAAATATGGATAAGACAAACTACATAGTTGCCATAAAAAAATATGACAATTTCAGTGTTGTAGATATTTAAGGAAATACATTTGAACTTGTAAAGAGAGAAGTTTAGGTATTTAAGGTCTACGATAACAAGAAAAAACGAATTTGAAGAGGAGGGAAATGCTTACTATTTTCCAGTTACGAAACTACTTAACTCGGGGCTGCTGTTTCGAAACTTAAAAATAAGAATTTACAAAACCATTATTCTTCCTACGGTACTTTATGAATGCAAAACCTGGTCGCTTACATTAAGGGATAAGCAATGTCTTAAGGCTTTTGAAAATAAAGTATTGCACAGAATATTTAGACCGAAGAAGGATGAGTCAACCGGAAAATTTAGGCGGTTACACAACGCTGAATTGCGCGAACTATCCGGTTAATATAATTGAGATAATTAAGTTGAAGCGAATAAAATGTGCATGTAAAATTGCTGCGCTTAGTAATAAAAGAATTCCTAAAAAAATTAATACGCCCCGTGCAGCCTGGCTAGCGTCCGACGGGTAAGCTGAAGGGAAAATTGCGTTACGTCTGATCTGGAGAGGTTGGGTTTAGATGGCGCACATTGGATGGAAGAATGGTGGTGTCGGCATCGAACCTTCGGGTTCGCTAAGCCTTATTTATTCATTACAATCCACATTTAGCTAGCAGGTCATTGGTGTCAAATGAACCATTTCTTGGACAGTCTTAAAATATATATGAGTAGCTTTAATACCAAAGACGGACATTGTCACTTTTAAAAAGTTGAAAAAAAAAACTAATTTTCTGTAACATAGCTTCAATTTAAACCAATTTTAATGATTTTTTTTTCATGATTCAACTACAGCATTTTTAAATAAAATCATCAGAAACAGTTTGAGTTGAACCCATAAAACAGCACTTTCTCCGCTTTCTTTAAATGACTGATGTCCGTCTTTGATATGAAGCCACTCATATATATATATATATATATATATATATATATATATATATATATATACATTTTTTTAAAAGTGTATTTTGGTATGTCATTTGTTACTAAGAAGTTAATAATTCTCTTTCTACTCCAGTATATGACCCCTAATATAACAATAATATGTTTTATTATTGAATTATATTATAATTATTGACAATTAACATTTTTTTTCCAGAGATGGGGTCGATGAAGGTATCTTATGGCTGGTTGATAGCATTAAAAGAAACAGCCATATAAGGCCACCAAGAAATCATGATGAAATGTGATTATTTTACTATGTTATTGATGATGAAGTTTATTTATATTTAAATTTATTTATATATATATATATGATTATATTTACTATTTTTATTATAATAATTGCTATGATTGCCCATTCTTAATAAAAAGCATATATTGGTAAATGTTTGTTTTAATTTACAAAGCTTTGGTATTTCACTCATGCTCATATCTTACCTAATCACTCTCAATCATCAACAAGCATACTGAAATTTTCTGAACATAAAAGGTGTTTACGGAGTGATTTCCTCACATGGTATTTCTGTTGCTCTGTTTTATTCTCTCTGCTACAGAAGATAAAAACATTTCTGTTGGAAGAGTGCTAATATCTATACAAAAAAATAATCCCTAAAACACAGCTTGCTATATAAAGGATTAATGTAAAGAAAACATGAAGCCTACATTATTTTTTGGACAATCCAATAATTTGGATCAATAGTCTAAAGGTATCTGCAAAATTTGATATTAATTAGGATGATTTTATAATCGTTTTTCTCAAGTTAGTCCTTGTAAAAGACTTAATAAAACCATTGGCAAAATACAATTTTATGTTTAAAGCATTTATTTCATTAATTTTAATGTTTGTAAATATTAAAGAATTTAGGGCGAGAAGTCTCACAGAAAACACAACCATATGGAGTGAGATATGAAGAATGGTAATCTCATCTTTTGAGATTTAAAGGCTTTTGATGATTTTGACAACTTGAGTTTAAGTAACTGTTACAGAAACAAAAGATAGCAGATTGCTCTAAACTTAATAAGAATGACATTTAAATCTAGTTTTATTAAAAAGAGTTAGGAAGAAGGAACCAAAAGGAAATAAATAATATTACAACAGTGCACGGCTGCTCAACTGTGGCGAGTTGCTAAATAACACAGCATACTCATTAATAAATAGATACTATTTGAAGAGAACGAACGATGGTTGGGGTCATCAGTCAAAATAAAATAATAAAAATAAATACAATTATTTTTACTGATCACCACAACCATCCTTCTCTTCAATTATTCACTACAGTCCACCATCAACCCATAACGATAATATTATTTAAAAAAATAAGAGAAGGTTAGATCGAACCATTGGAATACTAATCAGATATGCCAAGAACAGTTTGTAAAATTAAATAAGTGAAGGCCAAGATCAATCAATACATGTGGTGATGGAGGATTCCTAGTGAGTCTAAAATAATAACTTCTATCATGGTCTGCATCTGCTCCCTTCCAACACCGAGCCTCTGCAAGAAATTACATGTAGTAAGAGGAATGCTTCCCCTACTACCCACTCAAGGATAGTCCATGCACATAGCAACCCTATGCTATTTTACAGTTGAATACACACACTATATACAATATGTAAGGTCAGGAGGGAAAATGATGAATGTCTCTTTTCAGGAATTTTTGTCAAGTCTGAAAAACCTATTTATTTATTTTTTTAAGAACCATGATGGTACCTATACCAGTCATTAAGTAATCTATGCCCAGGGTCATGGAATCCAAAATAAGGTAATATGTGAAGAAAAGTGGTTAATCAACATTAATCATTTTTACTCCTGATCCTTTGCCATATGATTATGGCCTAATTTGTTATACTTAAAAAAATTGTATCATAAGGGTGAATTATAAAAAAAAAATTATGTTCTCAATGAAAATGTCAGGTATCATTCATCATAGCCTCAATTAAGTTTATGTTTAAAAAATAATGTGTTGGTAGTCATTGAAAAAATCCAACTACATAACTTTGTTTCTCTATAATGTAGGAAAAAAAAACTAACGCGTCAATGGTTTGCTAATTCAGGCTTCATCAGGATAAAAAGAACAAGATCACTTCACTCGATTATGTCCAAACACATGTTTTGATGGAGAGCCACACACTCAATGAACTTAGTTTAAGTAGGGAGCACTCTCTGGGGCCAGTGACAATGACAAATAATATAGGAGTATTTCAAGGTAATCTTATGTATGAATCCCCCACCTAGTATCCTAGACTCTTAAAAAACAAGACCAGGTTGGCGACATACAAAGAACAGCTGTGCTGGAGGTAGCTAAGGCCTACAGGACTGTATCAGACGAGGCGGTGCAGATCTTTGCAGAAGGGCAACTCGTAACTCTCAACCTTATCCTGCTTGAAGATGGTTACAGGAGAGAGGACTTCCCAATATTCTCTGAGTGAGGATTGCATATGAACCATATGTGGTAGTAATGACCTGCACCGCCTTATAGCCACTAAGGTACACACTATGAAGGCTGGCATCTATGTTCTCACTGAAAACGATTTTCCCCTCCTCATGAAAGAACAACACTACCCCTAGTCGGAACAGTTCATGTCATTTATTGGTAGAAGATAGTAGTGGGACGTTCAAGTTGTTCAGATTATTGGAGTATCTGGACGAATAAAATTTGGATTACTAACATTACATTATATTTGTTGTGACCATGACCGAGAAGCTGTAGTGATAAATATTTAACAAAAATGGAAACAAAATATGAAATAATTAACCAGGACGTACTGAATCAAGAAACGTATGCCCAGAACATATTGTAATAAATATCCGCTGCACCCGTAAGCAAGAAAGCTAAGCCCTGATTTTTCAACTAAAAAATAATCACACGGAGTGGAAATCATATATAAATAAGGAAATATATATATGGGAAGGAATAAGGTGAGGCTTGAAAGAGAACAAGAAATGATGAGAATGTAACAAGAGCAAGGCGGTTCGACAGTAATTCTCAGTTAGTAACATAATTTAAGTAAAGAAAAACATTATCTAAATCTAAATTTGAAATATCAAAGAATTGGTTGACTATTACATTTTAATAAAATCATATATTGTTCATCTACATAAATAATAATTAAAAAGTCAATAGGCCTATAACAGCTAAAAATACCTTTGACTATGATCACAAAAAATCTTATTTTAAAATATAACTTTTGTTATCACTGTTCTTGGTTTTCAGACAATAATAAAGACCCACTGTGTATGGAAAATCGACAATTTAGTGACATTTTCTAACTTAATATAAGTAGTATTTATGAAGAATGGTAATAATTTACTAAAAGCAAAATAGACTATGACTATATAGTGACATACTTTACATATCAAATACAGATAAAAATAGTCTTTGAGAGCAATATTTATTTAAATAATGAAATGATGTGAGGCATTAACTATACTATATATACACAAGTAAAATCATTCTCTCCAGGTTCATCAAGTCTGATTATTTTCAGTCTTTCTAGGTAATTTAGTATTTGTATTAAAAGGTAAGAACATTTTGGCTTAAAACAATCATACCATCTTCGATTACCCATCTCATCAAGTAAGAAGTATTTAAATAGTACTAAAAATATTTACATTACCTAAGAAATTTCATGGAGGGAGCCAATAATTCTATGTATTTACAAGAATACGTTAATGCTCATTACTAGTCATCATTCTTTTTTTTTTATTTATTTATTTTAAACTAACAACTGAGCTAAATTAAGATCCACTTATAAATAAATACCTAATTAGGGTGCCCTGTCCTTCCCAAACATGTTTTGTATTTACAAAATATATTAATAATATAATGAGAGAAAAAAATATACATAATAATTATAGAATATATATATTTGTTTATTCGGATATATTAATTAAGTACTCTTATTTAAAGTTATTTAACTATTTAAATAATCGAGTGTACATTTTTTAAAAATTAAACACATATGTACACATAACTTAAAATAATACAATTACATAATAAACATGTGCATATGCGAACATGATCAATGCAGGCACATTTCTCGATTAGTCTCCTATATACAGATATACAAGAAAGATATGTACAACAAATTTTGACTTTACATTCTTCCTTACTTATAACATTTTATAATCAATATTTTAACAAAAAAAGAAGGAAAAAAGTAATAGAATGCTGGTTTAATGTCTTTAAAACATTACTAAAATCAATATGTATATTTTAAATAATACTTTCATATTTAGACAACAAGAAATTATTTTTATTGTAAACAACAGTTGAATGAACATGGTTATTCATATCACAGAGTTTGTAAAACTTAAACAAATAAAATTATAACAAAGTAGTAATATTTTTTATGTATTTGTTTTAAATAATAAAGGAAAATTCAACAATTTATTATATGAAATCAAATTAATGGAGCATTTACTTTTTGAATAAAAAATAAAAAAATAAAACAATTGATTCATGTCTCGATAAATAAGTTGTGGTAAACTACTTGAAGAATGACTTTTTGCTCTCCCCCCTCCCCTCTATTAAAAATCACATCATTAAAAGATAATAATTAACCAGTTATCATAAATCTTTGGATTCCCATTTTAAAAAGAGATGAGGTGCTCAAAGTCAACTTAATAAAATATCATAACGATTAATATGTGAATGATCAACTGTTCAAATTTTGAACGATCAGAAAAATCAAGAGACTATATCATAATGAGATTAAAATTAAAAAATAACTAAATAATAGATGATTTTTTAAATCAATAGTAATGGTTCTTTTTAATTGGAAACAACATTGGCTATATTTAATAATGAATCACAACATAACTTAGTACAACAATAACATTAAAGTTATGCAAAAATTAAATATACAGTTGGTAAAAGTAGAAATGCTTGAAAAATTAAACTAAATATTTAAAAACAAAAAAAATAAAAATAAAAATTCAAAACATTTGATAATACACAATGCTCAATAATAGATTCCATAATAAAATACTTAAAAATAAATAAATATACTGCATATACATAACAAACTGACCATAGCCATTAATTTGGTTTTAAACTTTAACGCTACATTTCTTTAACTAATTTAATTAAAATATCCATTTTACCTTCCAAAAGACAGAAAAAAACTAAAAAAAAACTAGATAAAATAAAATAAATATTCTGTTTTAAATGATACAGAGCTCTAGATTAATTGACTTAAACAAATATAGGCATATAAAGTATGGTTAAGGAATGTATATCACGTCATTGTGATCTGAGGCCACTCCAGTTCCGATAAGATTCAATCTCCGTCAAGCAATTCATTTCCCTCGAGTAGACTCATGTCATTGCCAAGTTTCGGATGGGAAATTGTTTATCTCCGCCTGATCGGTAACTGTAGCACCACCGCAATTGTATGATACTCGAATTCTCATCCGAAGAGAGCACTAAAAATAACAACAGCACAAGTATAAATAATTTAATCATAACAATTAGATAAGGATTATAAATGATTATTTATCATTACAAAATATGTATTTGTAAATATATATAAACACAAGAAACTATACACTATTTGACCAAAAATGCTTCCTCAATTGTTATAATAAATGTAAAACAGTGACCACCTTTAATGAAAATAATTCAAAAACACTCATCCTTTTAAATTTTATCATTAATTGTATATACAAAATTATATCTTCAGTTTATTGGTGTCATTAAATACATTTCGATGGAGAAAAACTTTTAACAGAAACCATTTTATAAGTAAAAAACAGTTTGAACTAGTTATTTCATTATATGAAATATTACTTAATGACTTTTTGCAATAAACCCAAAATATAATTATATTAGTTTTTATTTATTATGATGAAAATTGTCCCCTTGGATTTCACTAGCTTAATTTTTGAGCTTAGAGTAAAAAATCAGTAATAGATTTTTAAGAAATTCAGATACTGTTTAAATTATCATGGGTATAATTGACCATATGTTATAAACTTTTTTAGCTCGGAAAGAAAAGAATAAATCAAGATACAGTGTATTGGAAATATATATATAAAAGAGATTTATAGTTTTTAATTATTTAAAAAATAATAAAAATCTCCATCTATCTTAGTATATACACATATACTAAGATAGTGAAATAAGATAGTTACCAGAGAAAACAGTTAAATTTTTATTAGTTTTTAAATAATTAAAAACTATAAATCTCTTGAAGTACTAAAAAATTTGTTAATTTTAAGGGATACTTAAATTGCCTAACTTATTAGAGAACTTCTAAAGAATAAAACACAAAATAAAAGTAAATAAAAATATTATCAGACCAATATTAACAATAATATAAAAATATATCATTAGCAGTAATTAGAGAAAACACACAAGAAATTTCTGCTTTTTCTCAGACACACTAATTCGTTAAAACCAATATGAGACTACAGTCTATAGAAACATTTCAAACTTTCATGGGCATTATCAATAAAGTGTATACTTTTTGAGTTATATACAAATTAAGTATTATTTTATTAATAACTTTTTTTTTCTAAATGTTTTTGGGTAGGTTTGATTTTTGGCATTGAAATAATAGATAATCATTAAAATGATGGCATGTACCTAGTTCTGCCATAAATACTGTTACAAAAGTTGAACTTAGTTTACATCCTTGGGTATTATTTAGATAATTCTTACCTCTACCTAGGTTATTTCCTTTACAATAGGATAAAACTTAATCACAAATGATTGTGTGTACGCATACAGCTCTAAAGAAGTCCAGGAAGTCATCGGAAAATTGGAAAGAGGTCATCATCCTTCCTCAGTGCTGTTTTGGTGAGGAGTTTACTTTGATGGCACCACAAAGCTCCATTTTTGTGAAAAAGGAGTTAAAAGAGCCGCTAAAAACTAGCAGGACGATATTTTGGAACCTGTTGTCAAATCCCTAAATGATACTCTGTTTGCTGGAAGTCATTGGGTTTTCCAGCAGGATTCCGCTCCAGCTGACAAGGACAGGTCAACTCAACAGCGGCTGCAAAAGAACATTCTAGAGTTCATCTCTGCCTCGGATTGGCCCTCAGGAAGCCCTGATCTCAAGCCACTAGATTATCGGCTTTGGTCCAAACTGGAGAGAATGACATGCCACAGAGCACACCGTAACTTGGAAAGTCTCAAACAATCTCTGATCCGAGCAGTTGAGCGCTTTCCTCAAGAAGTGCTGACTGCTGTAATTGATGACTGGCCACGGAGATTAAATGCCTGTGTCAAGGTAAAAGGAGGGACATTTTAAGTAATTTCTTTTTTGTTTTACTCTCTATAGGTATACATTTTATTTTCTAATAAAGTTTTTGAAAAAATTAATTTTTCTGATGAAATCTGTATATATTTCCTTGTAAAAATATTTATGACAGGACTGGTAGACATAAAACACCTATGTGAGAGATAATATAAAAAGATTCATGCATTTAAAATACATATATGTAAAAATTGTATCTCAATACCTTGTTTGGCGTTGTTATTCTCAATACCTGCGTTACCACACCATTTTCAGCAATGACGGTACCTGACGGTGGCATTAACTGAAGTTGGAATGTCTGAAAATAAAACATACAAATAAAAAAATCTTTAATAAATCAATTTATGTTATTAATTAACATATATCATATATATTAAATGATCAGCTAATGACACAAAAGAATCATTAACCACTTGATGCATTTCTCTATGGGAGGAAGATCAATGAAAATTAACACAATTATAATTTGAGCGGTTACTGAAAAGTTAAAGGATCTCGATTAAAAAAAAAAAAATTTTCCATCGAATTGCAGAACATTGCTAATTGTTATATTTCTTTATTATATTTTAGGAGAGCAATCATAAATTGATAAATTGACAGAAACAGGTACAATTCCATAATCAAACAACTTCTATCGATGAAGACTATTATTGAATCTTCATTAAAGAATAACGGCTAAAGAACTTGTAGTTGTCAAATCAATGGTTGTTAATTATTTTTCAGAGATCTGTAAGGAAAAATTAGTTCCTCCTGAACTTGAAAAAGCTAATAACAAACTATCCGTATAATTATGAATCATGACGGTTGAACAAAAGAAAATTACATCCTCTCAACACTTCTTGTTGATAGCTTGAACTAGTTGAAAGAAGGTTATGATAAAAAATTCATGAAAATGCTTAATACTTAATAAATTCTTATGATTTTCAGATTACAGAAAAACTTTAAAAAATTTAGAAGTAGTAAATAATTAATGAATTTCATGAAGGAGTAAATATTAATATACTACCATTAAAGATTAGTTTCATTCCAAAAGTACTAGGCACAAATGAAGAGAACTATTTTTATTCATAAGATTGATTTAACAAATGAGGTAGTAAAAATAAATCGTTACCCTTGGAACTGCAGCTTGAAAAACAAACTCAGTAAAAGGTGTGGATGTAGTATTATAAGCAGTGACATTAACAATGGTTGTATTAGGTGAATCAGGAACTTTCTGCAAAGCGAAATCTATCCTTAACCCATCTTTTTCATAAACTGTAGACTCTGAAAAAAAAAAGTTGATAAAATAACAGTTGATTTTCCATAAGGAGGAGGAAAGGGGTGAGAGAGGAGTGCGTTCATTATTTCAAACAAAGACACAATTTAACAAGTATAATTAAATCATGAACTCACTCATACTGATTCACCCCATATTTATTAAATAAAATAAACAAGTGTACAAGATTGATCAAGTGTGCCTGATGAAAACTGTGGGGTCCGGTGAATAAACTTAATAATTAAAATTCAAGATAAAATATTGAATTATTACAATTGGACTGTATTCAGCAAAGAGAACTAATCCTCAAAATACATAAAATTAATTTAGTTAGTTTTGATTGGGATAATTGATTAATGTTTTAACAGAAAAAAACCCGTTGAGTATTGTTCAATGAAATATTAAGTTAAAAAAAATAAAATAATAAATAAATAAAAATTTCATTTCTATATTAAAAAAAGAACTGAACCATGATAACATTAAATTTTTATTAATATATTGACATAATGGCTATTTTGATTTATTGTTTTCAATAATGAACCATTGTAATAATCAAAAAAATTAAAAAATTTAACCCTCCCTCAAAATTTGAGGTTTTATGTTTCATGATACGTAGAATTCGAAAATAGAATAAAAATTTTTTTTTCTGTTTGCCATCCATCCGTGGTTTTTCTGCGAGACTACTCCTCGATCGATTTAAAAAAAAAACTGAATTTTTAAAAATTTTGAATTTTAAAAAAAAAAAAAAAAAAAAAATTGAATCAAAGTCACAGGTCACCCGAGGATGATCCTCCTATCTGGTTTCCTTTTAAGAAGGCGGCCGAAAACCTGTGTTGGTATAGACTCTAGTGCCTAAACGAGTGTACCAATTTCAATGAAACTTGGCTAAAGTCTTCTTCTCGATGTCCTTTAAATTTATCTATATTACATACTTCAAGGAAAAGACGCTGGAAAAAAAGCCACAACGGATGGTAAAATTAGATTTTTGAATAACTCAAGAAGTATACACTTTTTTGTTGATGTATATGTTTTTAAAAAGTTATGAAATATTCGAAAACATAAAAAAAAAAATTGATGAAATTGGAAAATGTGATCAATGATAAAAAAGAAAATCATTTAAGCCAATGTTAGATGTAATAGATTCAAAATTTTTTTAAAATATTTTTTTTTAACAGATCTTTACGTTTCACAGCTTATTAAATCCGAAAAATGCATTTGCAAATATTGGTCTTTCTGTGCCACAATTATTTCTGAAAACATATGGACTAATTTTATTGTTGATAGCTGATTATTAAATTCCATTCAAAGCTTAATTTTACATAATTTAAAGTTGTTAAAATTTTCTGAAATCGTTAGGAAAATCATACAAATGAACATGCCATGTAAATAAAAAATAAGTTAGAAAACAATTTTTGAAACTATGAGCTAAAACTTTACCTTGAGGTTGAACTAGCGGTATGGGAGGATCTGTAAGGTAGTCATTAACTGAATTAATAGCATTTAGGATGTTATTGTTGTTGTTTTGAAGAGAAAGAGTAGTATCATTGCTAACTTTGATATCTGCCGGAGGTTTCTTATCAGAAATTATATCATAAGATGAGTCTAAACCACCTGTAAAGAAAAGGAAAATTATGATACAGATATATTGCCACAGAAGTTAACATTAATCTCTGACCGAACATAACATTGTGAATTACTCTAAATGAAATTTATTTATCTCCTTCATAATTGTTTTATTTACTTTGACCTCTTGATATGAGTATCTAACTGATTTAATTTAATAGCCAACCTGTGGCTTTGTAAAATACTAAAAACTTTTTAGCCACCTTATATAGGTTATTGAACATGAACGAACACTACATGGAACAACATAAAGGATATTTCGACTATTGCAATAAATATCATTAATAAATTGTCGGAAGTAATTTTGTTGTCAAAGATATCAACAAAATGATAACTCGCTACCAATGAAAAAAAAATGCAATACCTTTAAAACCTAAAAATTAGTTTTGCAGCCTAAACCATGTTTTATTTTTTCTTTACTAATAATTAGATGTGTGAGAGACATTAGAGATTACACATGTCATTTTTAATCAAGAATTAAAGAATAAAATTACCTAGAAGATCCAAAAGGTCTTGATTTGTATCAGTTGTAGGCTTGGGTAAGGGTTCAAGAATTTCATTGTCACCATCGCCACCAAGTAGAACAAGAAGGGCATTCTAAAATCAAATAATAGAAGATGAGCATTTTATTATAATTTTACCAATGGTTGAACAAATCAGCAGCAGTTAAGTTATAAGGAAGAAGAAGAAAGAATCTTCTTTTGAAGTGCCAAATTAAAATATAAATTCACCAGATACTTAAAATAGCAAAAAGTTCAATATTAAATTAGGTTATAAGAGTAATATTCATTGACAAAACTCACCTCTGACATTTTATCATGAATTTGAGGAAAAGTATTGCGTAGAGAACTATTGCTATCGATAAGGTCTTCCTCGCTATCTAATTCATGGCTTCCATTCTGGCCAGTATTTCCATTATTTTTTTGAATTTCCAAAGGTGGCATTCTTTCCAATAGGGCAGTCCGTAGATGTGAAAATTTGCCAAATAGTTGACCATATTCGACTCCTCGCTGTTGTAACTCCATTTGGACATGTGAACCAAAACTTTCTATCAACTCCCGAATCTTACTGAAAACAATCAAAAGCAAAACATAAAAAAACTGAAAGATATCATCACTATGGGTCAACTTATCAAGTAAAAAGAATTTTTTAGAACAAGAAATTAAAAGAATTTTAAAGGAGCAAATACACTCTATTTTATGTTAGAAATAATAAACAGTAAATAAAATGGAATATTTGGAGAAATTATTATTATCACCGTTGACTCCTGGTGTAAAACAAACAAATATATAATAATAATAATAAAAAAATTACCTGGTTTCTGTCGGAAACCTTGTGCTCAATTTAGTTAATGAAGTCAGAGCATACTGTTTTGTAATTGGAGTATTTTGAGGTGAAAAAAGTAATCTTTGGTAAACAGCTAAAACCTCAGCCTCTGAAACCTACAACAAATAATAAGTTGTAATGTTTAATATTATAACTATTACTATTATTATTACTATTTTATTTGTCAACACTTCTACAAAAGGTTTTTTTTTTTTTTTACTTGAGAGGGGAGAATCAACTCCAACCACCTCAGGTATGTTCAATTTTAATTACTATTGAATGTTGAGAAAGCTTCTTACAATTCTGGCAGTATTCAGCAGCACCGCTTTCTGAGCTTCCTTTATTACATGAGTTGGGAGGCCTAGCCTGTCAGTAGCTTCCACAGTAGACACCGGTATCAGGCCATTGCTGGATATCACAATGCCCCTAACGGTTACTTTATTAAGTTTATACAAACTTTTTAACTCAGCTGCTAGACCTTGATATTTCCAAATTTTTTCTGCGCAGACTGAGTTAATGTTTCCGTCATTTGGCACAGCTATATCTATAATTTCAGCCACCTTAATATTACCGTCAATTAATACAATATCAGGTCTGTTGTGGATCACGAGATGGTCTGTTATGAACGATTGGTTCCAATATAATTTTAAGTCATCTTTCTCGCAAATACCTTTAGGGCAATATTTATAGTAGGGCTTCGAGTCGTTTAATAATTTAATTTTTAGACCAATTGCCTGGTGATAGACTTTGGCAACATCGTCATGTCTTTTTAGATATTCTGTACCTGCAAGAGCTCCGCAGCCTCCAGTTATGTGTTGAATGGACTCATATGTGCTTGCACAGAGCCTACATTTGTCCGATACATTCTGTTGCTTCAAGACGTGTCGCCAGTAGGATCTGGTAGCTATAACCTGGTCCTGGATTGCAGTTAAAAAACCTTCAGTCTCGGGAAACAGACTTCCTCCTACCAGCCAGCTAACAGACAAAGATTTATCTATTTCAGTCTGCTGAAGCTGGTGAAAAAACCTTCCATGTAATGCTTTTGACTTCCATTCTTCCATGCGGTCTTTGTCGGTAACAAAGATTGGCGCAGTTTCATGAGAGGCTAATTGTAGAGCAGTGTGCCCGCGATCGAGATTGCAGATTATCTTATGACACGGCACTGCGCTTTGTTTAAAGTACTCCCTTAGGTTCTTTTCTTGATTTCGACAAGACTCTTCAATATTTGTAAGACCTCTCCCTCCTTCCTTTCTTGGCAGGTAAAGCCTTGCCATAGATGCAGTCGGGTGGTGCATTCTGGAACCCGTCATACTTGTTCTTATTAACCTATCTAATTCCTGGAGTGACGTTGTGGACCATTTTAGAATTCCAAAGCTGTAAGATAAGGAAGGAATAACCCATGTATTTATAGCTTTTATCATTAAACCTGAAGAAAGATGTGTTCTAAGGATGATCTTTAGTCTTTTTTTAAATGAACCTATTAATTTACCTTTTACATCCTTTTTAGCTATTTTTAAATGCTGTTCTATCCCTAGATATTTATACGTATCTTCTTTCTGAAGGTTCTTAATATGATATTCTTCATTAAACAAGTTTTCGGAATTATTTGGTTTTCCTTTTATAACGTGAAGAACTGCGCATTTCTCAGTCCCAAGGGACATCTGTATGGAGTCACTAAAGTGGCTGACTGTCTTTAGCATAGACTGGAGCTGGGATTTATTCTTTGCGTAGAGTTTTAAATCGTCCATATAAAAGCTATGACTGATCATTGCACTTAATTCATTAAATTTTACTTTGTATCCATTTTCTTCACGATTTAATAAAATTGACAATGGAGCCATCGCAAGACAAAACCAAAGGGGGCTGAGGCAGTCTCCCTGGTATATACCTCTTGAAATGGTAATGTATTCAGGTGATTGCTTATCTCCTATTCTCAGTTTTGTTTTCCAGTTGTCCATCAATTTCCTCAGAAGTTCTTTAATATAAGGATGGATTTTATATAAATCCAGAACTTTTAAAAGCCAACTATGAGGAACTGAGTCAAATGCTTTTTTGTAATCAACCCAGGCTATTGACAAATTTCTTTTATTCATGGTCGTCTGGCCTGCAACGAATGAATCGATGAGCAAAAGTTCTTTACACCCTTGGGCTCCTTTTCTACAGCCAAGCTGCTCGAGTGGAATCAAATTATTGGTTTGCAGGTGAACTTCAATTTTACTTGTGAGGATGGATGTTAAAATCTTATACACACCGTTGAGGCAAGTGATTGGCCGAAAATCTTGGGGGTCCAATCGATCTCCTACTTTTTTGGGAATCAGCACAGTAACGCCCTCACAAAACGTTTTGGGAATGTCTATCTGCCCTGTTATCATTTTTTTATAATTCATTGCAAGTGTTTCATGCAGGCAGGATAAATTCTTTAACCAGTAATTCTGAATTCTATCACTACCCGGCGCTTTCCAATTTTTCATTTTCTTTGTAGCGATGATTACATCCTCTTTCGAGATGTCGAATTCTGGCATTTGAGGTTTCTCCTGAAGTTCAGCATTTACTAATTTTAACCATTCGTTTTCATTATTATGCTCTACATTGTGCTCCCAAAGCTCTTTCCAATACTCTATAATATTGTCAGTTAATGAACAATTTGCACCTCCCTTATTATCATTACCTAAGCTCCGATAAAACTGCTGCTCACTGTTTTTGAACATTTTGTTCTGCTGTTTTCGAAGTAACGACTTTTTATATCTTCGTATTCTGTTTGCATAAACTGCAAGTTTTTGCTTCAGTATATCAGCATGTAAAGCCAGTTTTTCGGTGAGCTCAGATTCTAACACCACCCCTATTTGTAGTACAACTATTTCGTCGATTTTTCGTTTTACTTTTGTACTTGTTCCAACGGGGTTCCTGATATAACTCGTTATGACTCCAATACTTGCCCTGAGCGACGCTATTTTATTTTCCAATCTTCTCTGCCAGCGTGGAAGTTTTGTATGATTTTTATTTTTCTTTTTTCCTTGTTTTTCCAAGCCAAGTTCAATAATAATGACACTAGCTGCAACATAGGCCCAATGACAAACAGCTTCGACAGTCATTTCTGGGTAATCTACAATAATTCTACTCAGAGCCTCATTAACCCGATTCACAGTCAACCGTGATTTGAAGCTATAGGGAATCTTTGAGAGGATTGGTCTAACATCAAGCGGTATCCCCTCATAAATCACATGCTGGGATAATAATGATTCCACTAGTTTGTCAATGTCTTTGTCTTCTTCTTCTGGAGGAGCTGCCTCTATTGCCATCGATCTTTCTAGAAAAGGTTCTGTTGGCTGCTCTTCATTTTCAATTTGCACCATTCCTAATCGTTCAGATACTACTATTTTGATATTTTCTGTTTCCACTTCAGATAGAAATTTTCTTGAACGGATCACTCTAACTTGGTCACTTATCCTTTGTGAACTCATAGTCATCTGTGGATATAGTTCTTGCCAATACTGTTGAATCCTTCCTAGGTATCCCGTCTTATCTGTTTCCAATTTTGTTGCCAAAAGATATGCCTGGATGACAGCCTTGTTCATTTCTGGCGTCCATTTCATCCTTCGAGCACCTCTTGGTCTCTGTTGCCGGGTTCGTGCGGGAGGAGAAATAGTCTCGCCCAAGCCCGAACTCGAACTAGTTGCCGGTTCTTGCAGTCTTGTGGTCCTTTGCGACAGGGTGGCGCCACTTGCTCCGCCACTACCTGAAGGAAGCTGTCGAAGGTTCCCGCCTGGTGCAGCCTCATTCCCAGGCTCGTCCGAGGCTATACGTCGATTTCTTAGCTCCATTTTTGATGGGTGATTGCATTTTAAACCTTCTGCCAGGCCTTCCTAGGTAAGGTTGCCCTAGGGTGTGTACTGCAAATGTCCTTGGTGTCAGTGTATGTGGTATTGTGTACTGTGATGTATGTGTTTGTGAACGGTGGGATGTACTCAGGATCCCGGGGGAGCGTAAAACCCCAACAACTGCGTTCATCAGTTGCCCTTGCGGGTTTATTATGTACATTATTACTATTACTATTACTATTATTATGATTATATATTAATATTATATTCTGATAGATTATACTATTATCTATTAATGCTGCAATGAAACTAGAAATAAAATTATCCTATGTGTTTTGTAAATGAATAGAGCCACTTTAACAGGATAAGACAATTTCAAGTCAAGAAGTTGATTTTTTTTTTTTTTTAAGATCATTTAGATCTTTAAATATAAAAAATTTAGAGTTTCCATTCACATCCGGAAGTTTTCATTATTTCCGGTTGAATTTCACTCAAAAATCAAGAACAAATATGTTTGTTTTGATCTGTAACTTATGTCATATTTAATTTTTAATGTAATTATTAGAAAAGTGAGGTAGTATTAAGTAATGCACTGTTTCTATATAGTTCTGGGTACAACTAAACCTATTCTAACATGGGTGGGAAGATCAAGATCCATTCTGTAGGTCCACTACAAAATAAATTAAAATAAATTAACTCGAAGAGGTCGGATTGGGAATGGTGCTGCTAGATTCGAGAATGTGAAAAGCAGGCAACGCTTTAATATGCTCAGCCATCATGACTTTGGGTACATCTAGCCTCAATAAAGTTGGCACTCTTAATCAAATAATTAATTAAGGGAGAAACCTGGTATATAATAATAATAATAATTATATATCGGAGGAATCTTTTAAAAGTATTATTTTTTTATTTAATAATAATATTTTATTTATTCTGGGACGAGTCCCTTTAGAATAATACAGGAAGACAGAAATGAAGGCTAAGGAGCCTCAGATATACATAAATAAAAATACAGAGTAGTTGAACAGTCTTGGTTAAAAAAAATAATATATATATACACATATACATATAAGTTGCTTTCCAATTTTGATCAGTTGACAATAATAAAAAAAAAAAAAAAAAAAAAAAAAAAAAAAAAAAAAAAAAAAAAAAAAAAAAAAAATTGGAGTACAAATAATGAAGAACGTACTAATAATTTATGTACATATTTTCAGTAATATCTATTTACGATTTTATGGAGACTGGATGGATAAGAAATGATTGAACAGGCGGGATTTAAAGGTAAGAAGGGTATTAGATTGACGGATATGGGAAGGGATGGAGTTCCATAGAGATGAGGATCGGATAATGAACGAATTTGTCGAAAGCCGCGGTTCGGTGGGCCCTTATGTATAAATCAGAAGAGCGGGAACGAGTATTGCAGGAACGAACAGAGGATTTGAATTGAAGGAGCTCGGAGATGTATGAGGGACGGTAGGATTGGATGACTTGAAAGAGGAAGGATGCCAGGAAATACTTACGACGGTAGAAAGGATAAAGCCACCTTAACTCCGCGTAAAAATGGGAAACAGAGGCATCCCGAAGATGAATCGTACAAAGCAATTTATCAAACGTTTTAGTTTCGCCTCGAGATTCCCAGAGAGGCTCCCATATACCGTACAGCAATAGTCAAAGTGGGGAAAAATTAAGGAAGTGACTAGGAGCCTACGGGTTTCAAAAGGAAATAGGTGACGGGAGTAATTCAGACGTTTTAGGATGGAAATGGTACGGCGGGAAATATTGGATATATGATTTTTCCAAGAAAGCGTTTGATCAATGGTTATTCCAAGATTTTTGATGGTGTGGTGAAATTTGATGGGGTTATTATGTAGGAACAGAGTTGGAATAGTAGGGACGGGACAGTTTTAAGGAGGTGAATATAAGCAGAATCTCGGCCTAGTCACCTCCCTACACAACTCTTGGCCTTGAAACAGTACTTCCTTAAAAAGTACAGTACCAAAGAACCACCATAGGTTGCTTTATTAGAACAGCGGAGGCCTCAGCGCAGACCAGCATGTCTTGTTTGGTAGTCAACTGTGCTTATTCCTAAAAATCAGTGCTGCCCAGTGATGAATTAACAAATCATTGATTCAAGTTGACTATTGCTGCACGGTATATAGAGACATCTCTGAGGATCTCGAGGTGAAACTAAAACGTTTGATAAATTGCTTTATACGATTCATCTTCAGGATCCCAAGAGACGCCCCTGTTTCCTGTTTCTATGAAGAGTTGAAGTGGCTTTATCCTTCCTACCGCCATAAGTATTTCCTGGCATCCTTCCTCTTCCAAGTCATCCAATCCTACCGTCCTTCATACATCGCCGAGCTCCTTCAATTTAAATCCTCTCTCCACTCCCGCAATACCCGTTCCCGGTCATCAGATTTATATATATTGGCCCACCGAACCGCTGCTTTCGATAAATCTTTTATTATTCGATTCTCTTCCCTATGGAACTCCATCCCTCCCCACATCCGTCAATCCAAAACCCTTGCTACCTTTAAATCCCAACTGTTTAATCATTTTTTATCAATCCAGTCCTCATAAAATTGTAAATATGTATATAAATTATTAGATTGTTCTTTATTATTTTTACTTCATGTTTATTTTCAATTTTTTATTATTAACTGATGTAAATTAGAAAGTAACTTATAATTTCTCTTATTATTTTTATTTTTTTTACTATTTAATCAAACTATATTCTTGTTTATGTATCTCTGAGGCTCTTTAGCCCACATTTTTGTCCCTCTGTATTATTCTAAAGGGACTCGTCCCAGAATAAATAAAGCATTATTATTATAAGATGTTATTTTTCTACAAAAACTTCGAGTGTTCAGGAAAGATTTAATTATAGGGATAAAAATTCTTCTGAGAACGTTATAAGAGAACCTATAGACAAACATTCTTGAATAAAACTATATGAAAATAACATAGAAATAATAATAACCTTTAATCCCGATGTAGTTAACAATAAATCACCAAACTCTCCAATGCACCATGTTGCAACCTGCGTAAGTGGTTGACGATCTGCTGTATCACTTTCGAGAGCTGACCATAACTGCGGTACCATGTATTCTTGCTGGCTAGGATTTGCAACTAACAACTGAATAGTACATGAGACTACATCGTCCCGAACATAGTTTCCAGCCTGAAAAAAATATATACATATTTAGCAATGAAGTTTTCATTGCTGTTACCAAAATGAATTTATATATATATGAGACTAATAATTTTATTTTTTAAAAATGCACAAGAAATAAATCCACTGTATAATAATTATACCAAAAATACTTACTGCCACGAGGACACTGAGAAGTGTATCCAAGTGCCATTTAATATTAGGTGCGTGCTTTTCCGCTGCCAGGACAATCCGAGACGAAGCCATCTCTTTGAATTCAGGATCCGCTCTTTCCAGGAAATTAAGAAGCTCTTTCATCATTGTTCTGATATTGCCTGAATTGATGAGGGCGAAACTCAACTCCAATGCTCTTCGTCGAATCGATACATCTGGATCCTTGAAGACAAGATTAAACACATGAAAATATACAAATATTAATCAAATAATGATTTTTAATTGTTAATTTCTTAGCAGGTAGCTAGCTAGAAAGGGGAGTAAAACAGTTACCTAATATATTTGTAATTAATTTTACTAGGGGGGTACCCTTGTACCATAAATATATATATTTATCTTGATATATATATTTTTATTCCTGGTTGTATAATAAATTGCATGGACTCAACGACAAACTTATAAACCAACATGGCTGATTTGCCTATCAGAAAGGAACTGAAAAGGAGCTGGATGAGAGATCTTTCCTGATTTTTTTGTTTGTTTTTTTAAGCTTATTTATCTTTGTCGTAAATCTATGACTTCTTGTCCTACAGCATCCTTCAATAATACTCCACTTATTCCTATTGAGCAAATCCGCTACTCAGGACTCCACTTGGATAAACATCTTAATTGGAATCCTCATACTAGATTGAAACAACAACTAACTGACTAGTAGCAGACCAATCCCCATTTTACAAATTATACAACTCTTCATTTAATTGCACTACTTGTTCCTAAAATTGTGCAACTATAATTTACATGTAGCCTGTAGTTCAGATTGTATTATTTTTGTCAACTTAAAATAAATGAAATAAAACCAAATTTTAGACAAATTTTTAATTTCTGTAAAAATCTATATTAAACAGTGCCTTATTGGCAACTTATAACCATAATAAGGGAGGAATAATTCTGGGAATAAGACATGTAGTGTCTTCATTATGGTCTGTCGTACTTCTTTAAATGTAAAATAAAATATTACACGACCACTAAAAACTTTTTTATAAAATAGAGAGACATAAAATTGAAAAACTAACATGCATATATTTTAGCTTAGTCACAACTCTTCTAGAATCAGATAAAGTAAAATAATCTACACTGTCAGAAGTGAACAATTTTGCTGAGTTTGATTTCATTATCGTGTTCGTATTATTCTGAGAAATATTTTTTAAGGAGCAAAGTATCATAAATAAGCTATAAGGGTAATAAAAAATGCAATGCTTCTAATATAAAGCTACCTACTCAGTTATCCAACTGTCATTACCATAATAAAAAAAACTTCAAATATTTTCTTCAAACATTTAGCAAAACATACATTAAAAAAATTTGGAACATACTTAATAAAAAAATAAATGAATTCCATTGATATACAAAACTTGATATCAAATAAGACTAAATAGAATTGTGAATATTTAGTTCTAAAATTTTCCATAAATAATTAATTACTTTTTAACCATATTACTTCATTCATCTTCCTATCTTTTCTACTACACCAGGTATAAACAAAACATCAACAAGACAGTCCTTATCATTTGTGATAACCGCCATTACTAAGGAAATAACATGGAACTTGAAGTAAATGAAATTAATAATCATAATAACTCGAAAAAACAAATTAGAGCGATGAAATTAAAGAAGAAGACAACATAAACCTAATTATAGCATACTATCATTAAGAAAAAGTCAGGTTAATAACACAATAATACCTTTAAACATTCCAGGATCGTAGTCCTATGCCTTTGCACTGCGCTCGTATCAACGTGAACAGTCTTCAACAGAGTGTTTAGAGCAACATATCTAATATTTTTATCATTGTTCACGAGAAATCTTCCAAGGATATTTATAGCTAACACCTGAAAACAAAATAATTCTTTATAATTCAACTATACAATTAAGGCACTTATTAAATGAGAAAAAAGTTTCTTATTTTTTTTCAATGTTTCCATAACACAAATAACTCAGCATGGACTCATAAAAAAAAGAAGTATATTTCTTGATTTATCAAGACTAAGCCATTACATTGCCAGTGTAACGTCAAAGTATAATATATGAAAATGTATCAAAATCCAAAATCAGATTAAATATACAGCATACCTTACTTACACTGTTATTACTAAAAAAAAAAAAAAAAAAAAAAAAAAAAAAAAAAAAAAAAAAAAAAAAAAAAAAAGTATTCAAGATGTTTTTTAGTCTGATAATAAAAACAGAATAGTTTTAGAAAATACTTCTCAAGAGATATTTAAAAAATAAAAAATCTTAATTGATTTTTAAAACCGATTGTTTTTTTTTTCTGAATGGTTCACACTTTTTATTTTCAAAAAATGAAATAAAATTAGACAAGAAATCATTGAAAACAAAATACAGAAAAAAAATTAAAATACTATAATTTGAAAAAGGAAAGGCAATTTATGGGAAATATACAAAGTCATGGGACTGTAAGAAATTGGGAAATTCCAAATAAAGAATGTTTTAGTCATCTTGAAAAATAAAAACATGAACTATAAAAAGGAAAAAATGTATTCTTTTTTTAATTAGGAAATTATTTCAACAAAACTGAAGCACATGTGGAAATTGAATAGATGGATAACTAATTCTACAGAAATGGATTATCTGTTCGAAATTGAATGAAATTTTTATACAAAATTACAATTCTGTTATCAAAAATTTAAAAACATCTATATTTACCCTTAGTCCACTCTCCGATCTAATATCCATAATAGACAAAACTGTTTCATAAAGGATGGTATTCCCTACATTTTTACTGGTTTCTGTATTGGTGGCAACTTGAGCTAAGATGTCGTTCATAGCCTCTGATGCTTCAACATCATTTTTACCCAAAATTCTCAACAATCTAAGAATTTTCACCTATAAATAAAATAATAAAATTTGTAAAAAAAAAATTTACATAAAAATATAAAAAAGCAAAGAATGAAATGTTTTGGGCTGTTAAGAAATATAAAAGCAGACCCAACATTAAACAGCAATATTATTAGGTGTTTTAGTCTTGGATGCTCCTATGACTTTCTCCTTCTGAATTATAATTATGGTCAACAATGTGAATTTTTATTTAAATTTGAGTAATCCTCACATATATTATTACAGTAAGGCTGAAAATGGTTTTGTACCAAATATAAGATCCTATCATGCTCAAATACCATGAATGGTGTACCATTGGATTTAGAATTTCATGGGGGTTTAGTGAATCGTACTATCCGCTTTTGTTTTTCTTTCTAAAATAAATAAAGTCGATACAAAATATTTTGCTAGGCTTCAATATGGAACGGTGGTGAATCTGTAGATCGATACGGGACAAATTGGGCTTTGAAGAATTTGATGCGTAAAGCAAGACCTGGATAGTTCCTTAAGCCCAAAAAGTACTATTTTCGAGATAATGCAAGGCAAAGGGTTCACATCCACACAACTTTACGTTAATTGTAGTACTGTCATGGAATACATGTCTCATTTTATGACCGAGAGGTAAAGGAGAAGTTTATATTATTTATCGAAGGTGTTTTTTGTCAGTAAGCCACATCATTGTTAATTCTTCATCAAATCCACCAAATTTTGAAGGTTTTCTTATCCTTCAGGTGGGCAAAATAGTGTAATCACCCCGAAAATTCAGGAAAAAAGTTATGAAAGAAAAGAAACTTGATTTGCGAATAACTCTAAAATTACACACGTTTCCCTCGGTTATGTCGGATTATATAAAAGATTACTGAATCCTCTCCCCCCCCCAAAAAAAAAAAAAAAAAAAAAAGAATCATCAAAATCGGACTATTTTTAGCAAAGATACGGCTTATTAAAATTTGTAAACATGTTGGTTCCAAACATTAATGAAGTTAATTTTTAAGCGAAAAAGTAACAATTGATTTATTTTATGATATGTTGCATTGTTTTATTTTCTTATTAATTTATTATTTGATCACTGAACAATGAACTGTGCGACTTTCGCACCGGCCTACTAATATTAAATAATTTAGACAATCATCATAAGTTTATTAAAAATGTTTTGAAATGAACTTATATATTTAGCATGAAATAATTACAATTTAAAAAAGATGATCAGGAACCACATAGCCTGAACTTTCATATCTATGAATTAATCTAAAAGTTTCTTACCTGCAGAAACGGGTCACTAATCCCTGATACATCGTGCTCAGGTGAATAACCCGCAAGGATCAAGTTTTTCAAATGCCTTAATAAGTTAGGGACCAACTGTAATTAAAAAAAAATTATAATAACAGCTTTACTAAGGAAAAATATATGCATGAAATCAGAACTTAAACTATTAAATCACTTATACGTAAGGGTAAGTTCAGCATATCCAATACATCTATCTGATACTAAAATTTATAAGTTAAACTGACCAGACATAACTCAATGGGAAGACATCCATGTCTGAGCATACCATGACAGTACATATTAATATACATAAAAAATTGCTAAAATATGACTTTTTTTAATAACACAGCAATTATACGAGTTTTGAGAATGATTATAAATCTAATATTCAACCATGATTATAAAAGAATGTTATTGTAATATATTCTACATCAGAGATTCTCAACAATTACTGTCGGTCCTTCTCTATTTCTAAAATAAAAATAAAATCAAGATGTACCTTCACTTACATCTTCGTCAATTTAATTTTTATTCATTTTGTCTGAGACAATTTTTTAACTACATTTAAACATACATACCATGTTAATCTAATAAATGTGCAACATTTAACAGACTCATATTTGTTACTTTAACATGGTGCTGTATAGACTTTGATATATATGTCAAAGTGTGTGATTTATGAAATAATTTTTTGGCTCAGTATACCTATATAGTATATTGTATTTAATTAAATTTTATAATTGAACAATGGAAAAATTATAATTATATATAATAACTTCTTGAATCTCATAATATGCTACTATACATAATTCACTTATAATAATGATAATAATGAAGAATAATAAAGAGTTAAATATTATATGTAGATATAATATGTAATGTCTAAAGCAGGGTGGTCTATTGAAACATTTTTGTAGAATTTCCTAAATTTTTCAGGTCATTTTTGGAAAAATTCCACATTACCAAAACTGGGTGTTATTTCATAGTGCTGAATGCTGCTCCATGCAAAATGACATTAATGCACACCATATTATTGTAAAAATTAGCTCCAAAATGCATTTGTACCAAATAATGTAAGTAGGCATTAAAATAAATAATTCTTTATTTTAATAGTTAATGACTTCTGAACAAACAATATTAAAATTTTTGAAATCCAAAACTAATTCAACTAGTATATTTATACAGGTATGTATAATAAGTATATACAAATATTGGCACACAAATTGTTTCTTAATAGTTTTAAGAATATAATTATATGAAAAAACAAAATAATTACTGCAACTACGATAGACATAATGTAATACATCTAGCTGAAATTCCTTGACTTTCAGTGTTTTTCATAAAATTTCATGACTTTTGGTGTTAAAAAAAAAAGGCTTTTGAAGGTCCAGCAGATACTCATGTATAAAATTACAGTTAATTTATAATTATAATCATGTGCAACAGACCTTTAATATAAAAATAAAATAAATAAATAAAAGCACTAAACATACTTTTTTTATTTGATTAGTTCATTAGCAATTAATAGTTAAAAAAGTACAACATATTCAACAGACTATAAAGTCAAATTTTAAACATGAAAGCCACATAAAAAAACAGGCTGTTATTTCATAGTGCTGAATGCTGCTCCATGCAAAATGTCAGTAATGCATGCCATAATATTGAGAAAATTTTCTTCAAAATGCAATTGTACCAAATAATGTAAGTAGGCATTAAAATAAATAAATATTTATTTTAATACTTAATGACTTCTCTACAAACAATCTTCATATTTTTGGCTTCCAAAACAAACTGAACTAGTATAATTGTAAATTTTTGTCCCATGATATTGAAGATATTAAAATGCACTTGCTAAATAAATTCTTATTTCAAAAGTAGTTATATTCACTTAAAAGTACCATATATTTTTCTATAAACTGTTAATAAAAAATATTAATGGTCCGCATGAGAAAAAATTTAAATGTTCCATACTATGTTCTTCAATAATTACACCTATTAGAAAATAGGGTGTCTCCATTTTCATACATAATTATTACTTTAATTTAATTTGTTAATTCCTGTTGTTTAACAAATATTTAAAAGCATGCAACATAACATCATTAATCGTTCAACCATCAATCAAAGATGTCAGAGAAAAATGTGCATTCCAATAACATTCATTGTCCTGAAAATGAATGAAAAAGTAAGACCAAAAATTTAAATCTTATCGGTTCTAAAATGTTGGCGATAAATCAATGGTCGTAAGAAAACAACATTAAACAAACAAATAAATAGCATGCTATTACAAGAATACTATCAAATACAATTGAACAAAATCATATCATGCCATTGAGAGGAATAGCAACAAATTCAATGCCATTTATCTGCCAAAATATAATTTATTATTATTACTGTTAATTAATAGAGAAGAGACATGCAGTAGACTCCGTCTGAAATCAATCTTTTAAAGCAATTAGAATGCATTTAATTTACTTTTGTTCATTTATGAAAAGACAAATAAATTTAACAAGAATAAATGATCACGTTCAAAAATTCATTCACACTCATTGTACTTAATTTATGAATAAAAAAATGTATAGAGCTAATAACATAACATCCTATTATTGTATAAATTATCGATACTGAATATATTTTATTAATCAAAGTAATACAATATGTAATATAATACACAATAAAATAATAATTTCTGTTATTACTACGATTTTTTCTTCTTCAAATTACAGTGATCTCTTCATAGATTAGACACCCATGAGTTTTGATTATGCACTAATACAAAACTGTGGAATAATTCCATGTTCCATTCCAAGTACAGTAAGTTAGTACAAATTGAACATAAATATTTACTTATTAGGTATATTTTGACTCATAAAATAAATCAAGCAAAAATCTTTTGAAAAATTCAATTTTTAGTTCGAAGTTGTAATCAGAAACCGAAAATTCGTTACAGTCAGAATAAAACTAATTTAATGAGAAATATAAGAATAGAATATAAGCAAGGTTTACGAAAGTAGAAACATTAAAATGTCAAACAAATTCTGCGAAATTTTATAAATCTAGGGCCAGGTCTAATTGCATGAAATGAGAACCTTTGCTTACTCAATATTTAGTTATGTATTAAATATAACATCAGTTTAGAGTAGATATGTTTCAATTTGAATTATCAATTGTTTTTTTGTGTTTTTGATGTCCATTATAAAATGTGAACCCTTGATTACTCAGCTTCCATTCAATTTAATGATATATAAAATATAAATTATTCCTTCTTTTGAAATAAGTAGATAACTACATAGACTTCTTGAATTATTTATGTGTGTGTGTGTGATATGTTAAACGAAATGTGCTAGGAACCGAAACCAGTGAAATTGTCTCATTTCATTAAAATCAAACGTATCATTCTCTTAACTAGTACATGGGGGATAGGTTGTCAGGCATCTTAAAGCATATTACAAGAGGCAGAACTAAAACCAATGCTATAACCTTTGACTTATTGAACCCATAAAGCATCTAAATTACTGATAACTTGGACAGACGTAGTTTACAGAATTAAAGAATCTTCAGAAGTATTAAAGATCCAGGAACTTTTTAAACTTACAAAATACTTGAACAAGCTCAATTAAATGGTTTAATATCAAAAGAGGTTCATCCGTTTACTTTAGATGTCAATTTTTGCACAAATATTGAGAATAATTGCAGATACTGTAGCCGAAAAGGACATGTTAGACTAAAATATTTTCCCTCCATAAATCCAAGATTTTGAAAACAGCATTTTCAATCATATTTAAGTACTCACAGGTTACCATTAAACATTTATTACAATTCACTACAGTATATAAAAGATACAAACAAATATTATCACAGAAGTAATAGTTAATATAAACCACTATTGAAGCAATAACAGAATTTTTTTTTGTAAGTTGACTTCAAACTCCTTTGCGGGTAAATTTCAACTATACAAAAGATATCTTCATTCTCTCAAACTGTAAACCAATATTGGTTTCAAATGCCAGGATTCACTTATGGTTTTAAGTTACTTACGTGGGCTGATGCTGAAAAAAAAATTAATAGTCATTCCTTTTACAATTTTTATCAAGTGTAATGACAACTTTTGGTATCTTCAGGGAGGAAATTAGATTCGCTTAACCTACTGAGGAATGCTGAAGAGTCTCAATGCTAGACCATAGAGATTCAAAATATTCTACAGCTAGGTTGACTTGTGTTTATAACTATTATGATATGAATATTTCCATGCATTTCTCTTAATGCTAATGAAATTCCAAGAAAAGGAAATTTATCAGCCAATATTTGTATATAAGTTGTCATACAATATTAAAACAAATTTCATGAATTACATTTGAAATTTCAAGAACAAAAAGGATAAATTAAACCAATGGACTTATGAAATAACAAAAGTTATAAACGTGTCATAAATTTTTTGAAGAACAATAAGATTTACTTCACTAAAAAATAATATAAATGTATAAATATGGCTTGAATATTTCAGAAGATAGAAGAGAAATGACTTAGAACAGGTGTTGAAACTAGTACAGGACTTTTTTAAAAAGTTCTGTTTTAACAGTTCCTTCAAAACTTTTTAAGAAAAAAGTTCTTAAAATTAAAGCTCTAACTTGAATTTATTCAAGTTCTTAGAAAAAATGATGTTAAATGAAAAATAAACAGTAATTGGGCTTAGATTAGAGTTATAATTTGTCATAAGTGAATTACACACAATTATAATTTGTCGTTTGATAGAGTACCTTTGAATAAAAGTCATTTTTGAGATTGACTTTTTAGCGAAATCGACAGAACTTTTACTTGAAAAGTTGCATGGGAAAAAGTTCTAGTTCTAAAAGAACTGAAAAACTATTGAAAATAAACTTTTGGTGACACCGAAACTTTTTAAAAATAAAAGTTTTTTTTTAATGTCAAACTCTGGAAATTACATTAATAAAGGATAAAAAGTCGATTATTTCTTAAATAGTAGAATTTATCATTTCAAAAAAAGAAAATCATTATATAACAATAAAGGGAAGAGACTTTCATGATCTGAAAGTACAGAAAGTAAATAGGAATTAAAACAACACCAATTCCTAATAAATACATGCATTTACAAGTACAATATTTATACAAAACATACAGAAGTCTTTCCAGTGAATGTTAGCCGATTTTAATTATGAAACAAAAACAAAAAAAAAAAAAAAAAAAAAATGATAAAACAAATGAAAAAGACAGCCAATAATGGTCTGAAATGAAATGAATGCACAACTTTTATATAGAAGTATTTTTATAGACGAGATTAGCTCATGGTGGATGAGATAAGAGAGAAGGGGTGTTACGACATGCGCATGCAAGTGATTCAGCGCATATATAGAGGGGTTACCTCGCTGTGGCCAGGGTCCTAAGATGTTTGCACACACATACAAAAATAATATATACATAAATTAATAGGTAATATAGAATCAGTAATCTACTCTGTCATAATTTAATGGGTCTAAGAGCCGTATTCTGTTCATAACTTATTTCTACTTTTTAAAGTAATATAGGTTCAAATCAAAAGATGTATGTATGTACATACATGTTAATTTTAAATGAATAAATAAAATAAAGAAGGAAATTATAGAAAAAAAATAAGGTTTATAAAGTTATAAGCTAAGTCACTCTTTAAATGCATTTTATTAAAAAACTTTATATTTCACACATATAGATGAGCATAATCATAATCAAAATAAAAACACGATTATTTGCTTGTGGTTGTAATCATGGCCATGATTTTGATTGTAATCGCATGATTGTAATTATGTAATTATAAATATTGTAATCAAGTCAATATAATCACAAAAATCAAATACACGATTTTCCTCCATTTAGAGATAGGCTAAAAGGAAAACTAGTGTAAAACATTTACTTTTTTTTTTTTTTTTTTTTCAGGAGCGCGTTCTATAATACCGTCAGATTCATGATTGTGCTATTATGCATCCAGTTTTTGATACTTTTCAGATCTATTTGATGTTAAGATCCACTATTATGTTATGGAGAGAACTTATTATGAAAATACTGTCAAATTTAAGATTGTGGATTGAGCATTCAGTTTTTGATTCATTTCGAAGTTATTCGATAAAAGATCCACTGTTATGTGGCACTTTCTATGATTACACATTACGATTATTTGATTACATAATTGCAATCATAACAAGATTTCCGATTATGATTGTAATCAGGTAATTGTTTCTTAGTTATGCTATATTTATAGTGCTACTGTATCAAGTATAAAAAAGGGGTGGTCATTAAGTTTTATTTTCAGATGTAATCAATGATTATGATTTTGCCCATCTTTATTCACACTTAACTAACAACATAACTAATAAATACTGGTTAATTTTTATCAAATATTCTTAATTAATTTACCAATGTTTGCTGAAATTTCATTATTTGTAATATTTTTCTAAGTAACAATAATCATTTACTATATTTAAAGAATTGTAATTATTATAAAATTAAATTTAATAATACTGGTATTCATACAACCAGTGCTAAGTATGTGAAACCTTTTAAGAGTGTTTAAGTCAAGAAAGTTATATAACATTTGTGTATCAAATATGGCCACTAGCACACTCAATTTTAATATGGTCTCGGTTCTGTTAAAAAATCAAATTTGTAAATGAGTGGAAAGGTTATTATGTGATTTCCATCTTGCCTTTAATACTTTTTGCTATGTGAAATGAAATGTAAGAAAATATTGAGGAAGAAATTCAGAAAATGTGGAATGAAAAAGGATCGATCTAAAAATCCTAATATAATTATTTTATATACTTAAAATTATAAAATAGCATATGCACAAAATTCTAGATGGTGCTGAGTCAAGACCAAAAGAAAAAGATAACGAAGCTTATGGGGTTGTCTCTGTTTGGTTCTCAACTATATAATGAACAGTTTTCATTGACATGATTTAGTTCAAAGTAAGTTTGCCATAGAATCAGTTTATTAGTTCAGTTCAGTTTAACTTAAGAAAGTTTCTGGTGAAGAAAGTCAGTAGTAAACATTACATTGTCAGTAAATAATTTTTTCTACAAGTTTCTAAGTGTAAATTATTAATAACAATAACAAACAATTAGTTCAATTTACTGTATCTCTTATTTATCAAAATCGTTTGTGCAAAGCATAAAATATCTAAATTATTTTTTAAATATTAATAGTTGATAATTATTAACTTACATCGTTTACATTTGCTGATGACATTATGCCAATAGCCGACAGTAAAGAAAAGCTACAGGCAAATTTAGATATCTGGATAGAAGAGTTAGCAAAAAGAAATATGGTCATTAGAGCTTCCAAGACCAAGTCTATATTGGTGTTCAGAAACTAGAAAATAGATAATAGAGCAGGTTCCTATGTTCAAGTATTTGTGAGTGACGATCAGTGAGAGCGGGAAAATCAGGGACAAAATTAATACAAAAGTTGGCACTTCAGGAAGGATGTTCTCTGTCATCAATAGGAAGTTTTAAAGTAAGAAAAGAAATAAAATTAACCACGATGACAGCCCCCTCCAAAGCATGGAAATGAGGTATCTGAGGAAAAGGACAAAAGAGATCGGATACGAAACACAACGATACGGACTACATTCAAAATTGAACCACTCAACCAGATAACAGAGAAAGAGCAGCTTCAATGGTTTGGCCACGTAATGAGGATGGATGACTGTCATTCAGCAAAGAAAATTATGGAGGTTAAACCAGTAGCAAAACGGCCTAGAAGAAGACCAAGAATTACTTGAGAAGATAATCTCAACATATTTATGAAGTTAAAGGAATTGGATGGCCGGAAGCCAGGAGAGCAGTCCCTGACAGAGAAAGATGGAAATCTTTGTACAAAAATCTCTACACCGAAAGGTAGAAGGGATTATTGAATAAGAAGAATTATTAACTTAATATTTTGACGCTCCCATTTTAGTTAGTAAGTAGTGGTAACATCTAGGGTAGTCACCAGGGTACTTGCCAGCCAATGGACATAAAGGCCCAATTGCTAAACCAATTCCTCCCATTACAGGAGTGCTATTATTTAAAGCTACAATCAAACAAAAAAGATTCTGGTTGAATGAAACAGTACTATTCTAGTTTGATTAAGCTTTGAAGAATTGAAAAAAAAAATAGTAAATATATATACTTATCTGTATGTACATTTATTATCCACACAAATAATAACAGATATTCACAATTTTTTGTAACATTATTATTCAATAAATTACTTAAAATAGGAAAAAAAAAAAAAAAAAAAAAAGTAGATGAGTAGGTTTTTGTGACTCATTGTTCATCAACTGAGGGTTTGAGATAATTTTACTTATCACCATTAATAATATAAACAAACTAAACAAGCCTAATGCACATCTGGAATCAGATTTCATAACTGAAATATTGAATATGTATTCATATAACATTTTATTCCAAAATAACAACAGAACAAATTTTTTTACTTTATACTTATTTCAAATAAAGAAACTAATCTATAATCAACATAATTAATTTTGAAATATATAATGATTATGTATATAGCAATGTCTACTAAATAGAACCTAACATCTCAAAAAAAACATTGTCCTTTTTTCTGTAATTACTGCTTTAATTAGCCAACATGAAGTTTCTCAAAAATGATAATATACTTTGCTAAAAATATTAAACAATCATATATTATATTCAAATGAGATGAGAACGAGGGATCCGCCTTGTTTCCGATCCTATGGCAGAAATTTAATATAAAAAAGCTGCCACCCTCACCTCAGTCCACATACATCTTAGTCCAAAGTGCAGATGGCATAATGACCTGGGCTCTAGAGAAAAGTCATGCATTGGTCCTACTCATTGTCACTAACTAGCACTAAAATCCATAACTGGGTCCGAGCCTCCTTGAGTAGTTTTCGCCAGTTCATTCAAATAAGTACAGCTGTCCTCTGACTTTGAATACGAAACAAGTTCCTCGAATCTTAAGGAGGCCTCTTGGTCGTGTTCCATGCAGTTCCTAATCATGGAGCTTCCTTGGAATCTCTAGAGCATCCATCCAACCACACAGTCATCAAATCATGCTAAGTTTATACATATACTTTAGCGATATCTGTTTTTTGTTTTTTTTTTAAATAAAGAGTACAGTCATTGTTGGTACACCTTCTCCATGTTGTATTCTCTAGTCCCATAAATACAAAATAATCTTTCTTTAAAATATTCACAGGTCTCATTCTTAATAGTGATCGTATTGGTGTATGATTATTAGTTGCAATTTTAAAGGAATCAAAAATTTGTCATATTTGGTTAGAATTTGAACAATTATTGGTCCATGCAGTTTTTATTTTATTTCTTAATTATGGAGATTAATAAAATTCGAACATTTTTTGCCTGATGGTAACAGAAAACTATTTTGTCAATCTCTTATGAAATAGTATTATTATTTATGACTTAAATGTCATAGAGACTACATTGAATATAATTAAGTCAAAATCCAAACTTGCAACTATGTAATATAGTTATCCAACCGAACCTTTCAATGGTGAAATAATATTAAGATGTTTTATTGAGCAAGACGTATATTCCTAAATTGAATCCATCTTTCTAGAGAATAATAATATTATTTCATAGAATATTACAGTATATGGATAATTGTATGTTGTAATATAATTAAAGATAAGAACTAGTCTAATAAAACAGACTTATGTACATATCGTTTAAAAGCAAGTTAATTTGAAAAGATAAAAAAAAAGTTTATTTACTTTATAAATTAAATTATTGGAAACTTATTGGTAATATTTAAGTGACGGATACTATTAATGTATAACACAAACTTTGAATACTGCTCGCTAGTGAGTGAATGCCACGTACAACAGATACAGACATAAGAAAAGTTAAATCATTAATTAAGAATGATCTTAAATTTATCTATGTAAAAGTTTGCAAATGTGAAATAAAAATAGAATATCTATAAAAAAAACCTTCAATCAATGCACAAGACAAAAAGTGTAAATGACAAAGTAAAATTAATAACACAAACCTTTTTGAAGTGCTGCAAAGTATCCACACTGTTTTCACACATTTCTGTTATTAATGATACTCCGGTAATTAACACTCCTAAAACAATAAAACGTTGAAATCAAAATATATAGTAACACTGACATTTTTCAAGCTTAAATTTAGAAGATTTGGAAGCAGACATAATTGAGACTTAAAAATTGTTTTAATTTAACATTAACTTGGGTTAGTAAAATATTTACAAATACTTGAAATGAATGAATGAATGAAAAATAATTTTTATTCTGGGACTGAAGTCCCCTTAAAATAATATTAGAGTTAAAAAAATGTGTACATTAGTTTGACATGTAGATATCATACAAATATATACAAAATATACTAAGTAAATTGTAAATATATATAAATGGTGCAGGATACCAACATAATTATATAACCCAGAAATTTTTACAAGCTTGCAGAAGTTTGAAGTTGTAGTAGGTGGTGGAATAGGAGTTGTTTGAAGGAGTTTAACGTATGGAGATGGGTAAGAAGTTCCAGAAGGAGCTATCACAAATGACGAAGAAAGTGGTTTTATGAGAGGGGATATATAAATCTATAGGTTGTGATATGGTGTTGAGAGAATGGAAAGAGGAGTGTAAGGTAAGGAGTTCTATGATGTAGGCAGGATTTTTGGTTCTGAGGACTTGGAAAAGAAAAATACTTATGAACTAAATGTAAATAATTATCAGTCGGTCCATGCTAACCAACTATGTCGGGTGGTAGATTCATTAATCAGTCGCGAAGAAAGTTTGCTGACAAAAGAAAAAAAAGAAAAATCAGACTTGAGAATGACTCCAATCAGCCGAAACATAGTCTAATTATAAAAGAAAGTTGAGAGTTTAGTGATCTATTGACCTATTACTTTATTACAATTAAATAATTAAAGAAAATCTTTTATTTTTTAATAATTGAAGTTATTATCATATTTTACAAAGTGATAATTAAAAGACTAATCACAATATATATAGCAAAAAATAAGAGGATAAGCTTCAATTAATTAGTAACACATCACAGATTTCGTAGAAATGAAATAGGGTAAACCTAATGGGAAACTATTTGGTCCATTAAATTTTTTTTCTTAAAATAAAATATAATTGAATAGCATACCATGATTTTTTTCTGACAAGAGAGATCTTGTTGCAGGCAGGAAAATTTCCATAAGTTCTGGCACTTTGAGTATGATTCGGTAGGCGCATAATGCAGCTTTTTTTCTCACGTAGGCATTAGGAGATTTCATTAATCGCTCTACTTCCCCGGCGAGATCACGGGACATTTCTGGAGATGCAATTGCACCAAGTGTGCAAAGTGCCAGCCCGACTACAAACTGAGTAGTACTATTTAAGTCACTGTAACCAAAAATAAATTAATTATAAAGTAAGCTTTCAACTAAATTTAATTGAAAATTTTATATGTGTATATATATATTGAATATTTCACATTTCCAAACAGAAAACCTAAACAATGATACATTTTTTTTCGGCTTGGTCATTATTACTTTAAAAATACTTTGTTTTTCTCCATCTGAAAGATTTATGACCGAGATATGAATGGTGTTATGAAAAAAAATGGTGGATGATAATGTTGAGTTTCGAGGATCGTTCTGGGAGTGACCTGTGATTTTGATGTCAAATCTAGAAAAAAAATAGGACAAGCAATCCTAAATGAAAGCCACAGATGGCAAAATATTAAAACTCTAATAAGACCCATTTGGAAATTCAATTCAATCGTATTTACAATAATATTCAATACTTCACAATAGAAGACATAAAATCATAAATAAAACGATTTATATTTTCTAAACCAAAACATTTATCCTTAAATAAAAAAAATAACATTTTTTAATTTTTGCAAGCCTAATCAATGATTATATTGTAAATAAATAATTTTAGATAATCTGACAGTTAATATCAGTATAAAAAAATATAGAAAAACAAAACTTACTTTTTAAGACAATTGGTGATTAACAAATGAACATCTTGCCTCTCGTCCAACAAAAGCATAGCTCCCAAGTAGCCAATCCTCTTGTCTGTGAATCGAGATGATGCTATCAATTTCAAACATTCAAGCTGTCCAAAATGAGCAGGATACCTGAAAATAAAAATAAAAACACAATTAATTATCATTTATTGCTAATGATAATTACAACACAGTTCGCTATATTTTCATTAAGACAATTAAATACCTCATATGATTATATAAATCAAAAATGCAATAAGTATACAAACAGTCGTATTTGAAACTTTCTAGGAAAAATAAATAAAAGTAACCCATATATATATATATATATATATATATATACAGAACAGCTATAATATAACAATATACATCGTACAGTATAACAATATACGATATACAATTTGACAATTTATGATATTGGGAAGTTATAGTACGTAGAGCATACAAGCAACTGAGGAAAAACAATTGAGTTTCATAAAAAATCATGATTGAAAACAAGTTGCAGAGTGGAAGAATGTAGAGATTACCTCTCATTCTTTTTTTCAGCATTTTTACCAAGTGTCTATTCACAACTGTACATTTTACATTTCACATAACAATCAAAATTTGTGAGTTCAAACACCGTGAACCAAAAATAAAGGTAAATACAGCAGTTTCAAAAATTCACATAGTGGATCTCTATCTATTCATTTAGCAAATGATAATAGCAATTCGCAAGGTTTGACAAAATTTTACAATGAAGATTGTGAGCAATTTCAGTCCCAAAAACTAGTCACAGACAGAGCTACTAAAGAAAATTATGATGATATAACTTCCATAACAAACGAGGAAGAAAAACAAACTTTTTAATACTAGTTTCAGTTAATAATAATAATGCTCTAACTATTATCAAAGTAATTTTAATATACTATAGACCAACTATTAGGATAGGCAGGAGGTAAAATATCTAGGACCCAACTTTTTTCAATTAATACATAACATTTTTGGAGTTGATATTTTTATGGTGTCTGGGTTTATGAGAGGTTATGGATTGTTATATATTTTTAAATAAGCCCTGATGGAAGCCTAAAGCTTAGGCCAAAATGTTGGAACACAATAAAATAAGGTTCCTTATCTCCATGTAATTTCATTCGTGACCACACCCCCAACCACCTCTACTATTCGATCTATGGTTAACAATATCCCCACCATTGTCAATGTTTATTTAAAAAACGAAAAATTGTAAAAAAACAACAATAAAATACAGTAATCCCTCAACATTAGTGAGTTTGACATTCATGTATTCATGCAAAAATATAAAACTGTGGAAGAATTCTAAACTGATCAATCGCATATTTGATTATTTGTAGTTAAAAAAACAAACCAAATTGTAAACTATAACAAGTACGTTTTTTTTTTTACACGTCTACACATTAGATACATCTAATGTTTCACTCATCATGTATGGAACAAGTATCCATTGAAAATACTCATTTTTTTGTTTATTAGTTGTACAAGAAAACTGACATTTTACATCAATCAGAACAAATCCAATTCAATAAGAAATAAGCTGAAGAATACAAATGAGGCTTATAAAAGTAATAAGAATTATTTAGCCCCCTTACAGAAATTTTTTTAATAAACCTCATTATTTATCAGAGTCTGCTTCTAAAACTTTGTCTATAATTTAAGAGTCATATAAATGCCCAATGCTCATTCATTTACTTCATACTTATAATCTTTTGTTTTAAAAAATGTTTGGGTTTTCTCAAAATACAAAAAAAATATTAAATTTTTCATTTATATTAATAGAAATACAGTGTTAGTTTCTTGAGTAAAATTTGTTTCTAAATCCATAAAAATGTTTAAATCAAATCTGAGTTCTATGATCAGCGTAAATCATAGCCTCGTATTTACATGTAGAAAGATTCAACATACGCGAATGTTAAGAGATTACTGTGATGTTTAGTAATTTGAAAGAACTAGCTATTAATTTTAAAAATGGGAAATCTTTGATACATTCAAATGTGATAAAACATCAAAACAGAAAACAGAGTACATGTTATCTTTCACTTAAGTAGATCTAATTAGGTCCATAGCCAAAAATAGTTGGTTTCATTAGAATTCATCAATAAAAAAAAAATTATTGAAAGTAAAACATTTATAAATCCACGTGTTATGTGATACAAGAATGAGTAATGAGATTAAGTAGAGGTTAATTATGCAAGGCACATCTAAACATAACAAAGTTAATTAATCACTAGATAAAAAATATTTAAATGGAACTAGAAACTTAACCTATAGTCATATTTTCAACAACTTGAAAAATAAATTTCACTGCAAACTACCCTGAAGAAACAAATAAATTAAATAGAACTAACTTAAAAACAATGAAATTACAGTAAAAGAAGGTAAGGTTTAAAAAAACACTGAAGTTAGTCAAAAATTGGACTTACCCAAGCATATGAATATATAATAATTTAGCGATGTTTCTACATCTCCATAAGCTGTCTTCCTCTCTAAATGTTGATCGTATGTATGCACATTCTTTGTTGATCACGGCTCTCTCTTCTGCAGCAGTTCTTGCAGCACGAATCTGCCTAATTAGGTCTCTCAAACGCATAGGCGAAGGGGCTCTAACTGTCATGTAATACAAAACATTATTATATTTCTAAAAGCTTTGTTATATCAAATAGGAAATTATAATCAATATCTACCTCTTTCAACTGCATCATTGATGACTTGTTTGATTGCAGCCATATTAAAGGCAGGATTAAACCTATATTCAAATAAATAAAATTATGATAAAAATAACAGAGTAAAACAATCAAAATAAATAGAGTTCACTTGAAGCGTAATATTGACATTAGTTTCATGAGAAACATAATGTGCTACGCATAATTATCAACTTAAGGTACAGAGAGATAACTTTATAACATACAGAAAAAAGTTCCTGATGTAAAGAAATTAATATCGTACCCATGATCAGAAGGGTTCATGATTCCTCTTCTTTTGATGTAAAACAGGGAACAAGAGGGTTAGCTGAAACATATATCACATGGAAAGGAAGAAATTTAAACACGAAGTACACAATCTACAGAACATTACATTAAAATACTAATTATTTAAAGAAACTGAGACTAGTTCAAATAAATGGTAACATAATCCTATTAACTACAGAAAACATGCTACACAGAATCTATGGATTCAGAAAACTTATGACATCCCTATCACAAACTTGACATCTAGAAGTTGTACTATTATATGTAATTCATAAAGCAATTATTAGAGACAATTACCTTTAAAGACAAAAATATCTTTGAGTATAAATCAATCTTTAAACATAGTATAACATATCACAAATCACAAGTGGGTTCCACCTAAGCAAAGTCACAAACAATATGTGATACATGTAGTATAAATTGTCTCAATGAGTATGCGAACGAGGCAAACACATAGATCAACTTATTAAATTAGTAAAAACCACACAATTGATGGCGTACAAATAATAACAATACGAATTCATAAGCCACTATATAGAACAGTCAGGTGGAATCTCAGGTGTAATGTAATCAGTAATCAGGTTAGGAAACACAATAGTAGTTTTGCAAAATGAAAAGGAATAAATTACTATCAGTTTAAAGGGGAAAAACATGATAACAGGTAACAAAAAAAGCAAAACAATACATTTGTATAGTCAAGAATTTTCCAAATTATAAATTAATTTTTTCAACAATTTTTGGTTATCACAGGATTACTGGGCGTAATCACATTCAATCTATCACCATTTTTGTATTAAATTTTCTGTGTATCTATATAGGTAGGTATCTTTCTAGGATAATCAGTTGGAGGAAAATAAAACATTTTACAAAATGTCATGGACTCATATATTAAAATTGTTTTGTATTATTTTTTTAATTTTTGAAAAATACAATAAATTAAAATTCTCATAACAACTCTTTCTTTTGAATCAATAAAATATAATTAATGTTCTGTACGTGTATTTATCACTTTAAAGACCCTGATACAGATCTTATTGAATGTTTATCCTTTTAAAAGTAGAGGAACTCTTAAAAGTCCATATCATCTCCGAATCATAATTTAACTACCTTCTATTCTGTTCTGCGGGCAATACTCCAATATCATAATCTAAAGGCCACATTTTTATGCCGGACAACACTAACATAAAATACAAGCTATCTTTGTTTCTAAATAAAAACTGAAACGAACAGTAGTTAGAACAACATAGATAAGAACTGATGATAAGGTCACTGATTATACCCATACCTGTATGAAATTCTCGGAAATTAAAAAAAAAATATTTTTAATCGTTATTCCGTATACCAAATTCTCAACCAAATATTAGTTGTTGCATGTCTTTAAGAAGAAAGTGTATAGTGTTATTCATTTAATAATAAATTGTTACAACCTTAGAATTTGTAGAATTATATTTATCTTCTAGATTTAGGAGATACCTATGTTAGTTAAACTTGACCAACTGCTTTTTGGAATATTTTTTTTTTCATATTTGTTATTTTTATGAAAAAATGAATTCATTAATTAGTTTATCCTTCATGGCCCTTTACATAACATTATTAAAAAAATAATAATAAAAAATACATTACAGGAAATCATTATTCGTGCAATAATAGGTATTGATTGATATATGTTCTTTGATATATATATGTCCAGTGCCGGCCTTAGATATTTGGTGTCCCCGGGCAATATGGAGGTAGTTCAGATTAGGTATATATTATTTTAGTTTATAAAACAGGTATTAATATGACTCATTTCCTGGGAAGTATATACAAATTTTAATTACCTCTAAGAATCAGTAAATATACAAAACACAGTGTTAAATTTCAAACCTTAAATTAAAAAAAAATCAAGATATTTAGCAAAGTATTTTTTAATTAAGTTTTATTATAATAATTATATTATTTTTACAATAGATGTCTACTTAAACAAACTCCGTATAGAGTAAATTAAGTTTAAAAATAAAATAAATTAAAAAAAAATTGTTTAATTTTGTTTGACAATTAAATGATTACATTAATATTTGTTCGTTAATAAAACCAATATGATGTAAAAAAAACCGTTATTATATCACTATAACTAAGCCATTTATGTGTACAGAATGGTGTGGTAGAGACTTGTAGGCACCTACGCCGGCTCCGCTTTTCTCCCCCATAAGTGCGTTTTCTACTGAACTGCTTCAAATATTTTAAAAAGTAATCAGTGTTTTAGAAAGAAAAATATATTTCCCAGATGTTTTATTTCAGCACATTTTGCGTTATTGTGGGACGTTTAATTACAAACGACGCTTTATTTTCAACTAGAAAAGTTTTGACTTTACGGGTGTTTTTTTATTGCCTAAGCCAATTATTTTTTAATATTTGTTCATGTTTTATTATTCTATGACTATTCAGCTTTAATAAAAGACCAACCATAAGGAAATTAAGCCAAGTGCTGATTCTCAGTGACCAAAAAACTAACTAAAGTCAAAGTCGTCAATCCGCCATCTTTGGACGCCATTTTGGGGCAGTGCGTTCACTTTTTATTGTGGGAAAATTGGCTTTTTTTAATAAATAGTTACAATAAACACGACGATATGCAATTTATAGGGATGTGTGGGGAGGGGTGCAGAATAGGGGGGTCTGGCCCACATAATAATAGACCAATGGTGGCTCTAGGGTGGGGCCATTGCTATGGGGCGCCAGTCTATTTTCCCTCGCCACTTCTTAGGAATTAAAAAAAACCAAAAACATATTAAAATAACTAATGTTAGCCTATCAATAAAGCAACTGCATAAGAGAAATGTTGAATGAAATATTACATAATATCACAGGCGGATCTACGGGGGAGAGGGGGGAGGTGCTTTCGGGCTAAAGCCCCCCCCCAAAATGGTAAAATATAACCATGTTTTACAGAAAAAATATTAAAAACTATCTCTTAAAGTATTCTTGTTCGTGTAATTATATTTAATAGGACTTCGAGAACCACTTAAACACAATTTCATATAGGTAGTTAATTTCTTTCTTTTTTATCAAATTAATTATTGTTGTATGCATTTGAAAAAAAAATCTTTCGGGCTGAAGGCCCCCCCAAAATGAAATCCTGGATCCGCTAGTGCATAATATAAACAGCTTAAGAAATAAATTAAATTTTTTAGAGGGAATAGGACATCATTGCCTGGAGGCATCTAAGACCACCCAGCCATATACCAATTCTCTGAGTGGTTACTGATATCCTGGATAACCACACCCAGATTCCCTATTAATAGAGATATTATCTCTCTCTCTCTCTATATATATATATTATACATATATATATATATATATATATATATATATATACATATATATATATATATATTATATGTATAACTGAACATCACTCCTAATCCTAGTCGGTTCTAAGTTGCCTCCTTTTGGCTGACAGGTCTCACTTATCATAGAGGGGTCAGATCTTGGGCAGCTTTCTCCAGTGAACAGTCATCGAATTTGGGTGGTCACCTAAGTACTTACTTATGGTTTCTGAAATGTCTAAATGCACCCTAGATATGAATTCTGAGCAGAATTTCCAAATTGAGATTTTGGCCTCCTAGATTTAGGTTTTTTTTCTAGGATGAAAAAATGTTTGGGAATATTTATTTATATTTTATCTACTACTAAAACTGTTTGCCAGTTTTATCTTAATAGAAAAAAAATACTCAAATCAGTAGGAAAAAAATAATGGTATTAAATCATGCCATGAATTTTTAAGAATGATTTATTTATCAAACAAGAGTACAGATAACATAATAAAAAAATGTTCCCATGGCCAAGTATATTTTATTGTAATATCACATTCCTGCATTCTGAAGTTAAGACTGCATTAAAATATTGAATAAGTAATGTGACGAAACCTGAATGTCTTGTACAGGATTTAAAGTTTGGATAATCCTTGGTCCTCTTCATATCTCTGAGACAATTTTCCTCAAGAAAATAATCTAATAATTATGTAAATCAATCAGTACAAAAGAAGATTACATTGAGAATTTGTTTAACCCATTTTCTTTGTTATTTGAATAAATTTTTTAATTCCTGTCATTTCCTGCTGGGGCTAGCCTAGTGCATGGTTAATTAACGCTCCTCCAGGTTCAGTACACAGCACAAATACACACATAACACTACACTATACATGTTAACTGACATAAGGACGGACACCTGTACTACTCACCCTAGGGCTTCTTTCCCTGGGAAGGGCCCCAGAGGGGGAGCAAGTCAGGATACCCCGAGGAGGCATTGTGCTCCACCTAACTCGAGGGCAGTGGGCTAATAAACAGCTCTCCTTAAATAGAGGGCGGGGTGGCCGAATAGGCTAAAGCGTGTGTAACAGCACCGCTAGTTGCCTGGCAACCGGATAACAGAAATTTGAGATGATATAAAAAGTACGAGCCGGAGGGGATTTTAAATTCCCCACCCTCACCCCCCGGCCCGGGAAAATCCCGTATAGCCTAAAAGGCGAGATAAGGAAGAACAAAAAAAAAAAAAAAAAAAAAGAAAAAAAAAAAAAAAAAAAAAAAAAAGCTCTCCTTAAATATAAACTATTACGAGACCTCAAAGCAACAAAGCCGAACTGAACAATGGTAACAGGCATGGAAAACATTAAATGGACTTTAGACTAGGATATTGGAATATGCTATCGTTAATCAGACTAGGAGGATTTCAGGTCCTCCTAACAGAATTGGACAACTATAGAGTGGACATAGCTGCTATTCAGAAGGTCTGCAGGGTGGACAGTGATATTATTCAGAAGAAGAACCACGCTATTTATTAGAGCTGTCATGGAAAGAATCATACCTTCGGAACTGGATTCACAGTGAAGGCGAATGAGACACCAAGTTATTGGATTCTCACCCATTTATGAACGACTTTTTACTCTTCGTCTCAAAGGAATGTTTTATAATTACAGCCTTATCAGCTGTCATGCTCCTACTGAAGTATTGAATGAAGAGGAGAAGGAGAAGGAGAACTTCTACCGCACATTAGAAAGAGCTCATAACGTATGCCCAAGGATTGACATAAAGATCCTATTGGGCGATTTTATGCTAAAATTGGGAAACAAAAAAATACCAATCATTGGCCTCAACAGTAGCTAGAAAGATTGCAATGACAAGGGAAAAGAGTCGTAAATTTTGCTGCATCTGAAAACATAATTATAGGAAGCACAGTATTCCCGGAATGACGAATCCAGAAGGCCATATGGAAATCACCTGATAGAAGTACATTCAATCAGATAGACCATCTGCTAATTAGTGCATGACATAGATCTAATATAATAAGCAATAGAGTATATAGGGGTGCAAACGTATGTTCTGACCACTATTTGATCATTGCTCGGATTAGGGCGAGAATCTCTAGTGCAAAGATATGTAAATCAGCAGCACAAAAGATGTGGAATATGACGAAACTAAAATGCTCACTTCCTTTCAAAAACGAATAAATGAAAGAATGACTGATGAATTACGTACGGTTAATTTAGATAGTCCTCAATTTAGATGGTCCTCTTCAACATATCTTCCGCCTTTGATAGAGTATGATGGCCCTGTGTACTCTAGCATCTCTGACAGTTCGACACCCCAGCAACTTGTACTCCCTCAATAGGGGGTACCTCAGCGATAGGAAAGCTAGGATATGGGGTACCTTCTATGAGGTAAGCAGAAAATAGAAAGAGGATGTCCATAGGGCTCAGTCCTGGGCCCGGCCCTGTGGAAGTTAGTATTTGACCACTTGCTGGGGGAATTGGAGGTAGCGGTCTTCGGTGCCATTGCCTATGTTGATGACCTGGCTGCCACAGTAGCAGCGAATAATAGGGCGAGATTGTTGGCGGAAGAAGAAAGGTCGAATAATGGGGCGGCGGCAAAGACCCAGGCCATTCTGTTGAAGGTGTCTACAGACAGGGCCCACCCTATTAGTCTCAGAGTAGGAGGAGATAGAGTCCGCCTGGGTGAGGAGGCATGAGATTTAAATTGAAATTCAACATTTCTCCTCAGATAGAGTACCTACGGAGTAGGGTGGCCCTGTACCTAAATGGCCTGGCACTGGTTGGGAGTATTGTGATTTAAAATAAACACATTCAGCCAAATATGATTTTATTTTTTTTATTATATATTCTCACAGTGGAGATGAATTTCTACCTAGGTTTAGATTCTATACTCCACTCACTCATAGACAAAGAAGTGGCCCAAAGAATTGGAGCAGCAGGGATGGTGGTTTCCTGAGAAGAGAGGTATTAAAGCGGACCACACTAGCCGTCTGTAA